ATACCTGATTATTTAAAGTATAAATAGTAACAATGTATTGTGAAGTTAGATACATAGAAATAAAATGTGACCCCAATAGCACAAAGAAGTGGAAAACTTAAGTATATTATTGTAAAATTCTTATACTATATGTGAAATGATGGAATAGTATTTGAAGGTAGACTGGTATAGTACAGTATAAACGTTAAAGCAATCATTAAAATAACAAGAGTTACAGCTAATAAGTCAATAAAGGAGGTAAAGCTGAATCATTAAAAAGGGCAATTGCACCAAAAGGCAGAAAAAGAAAAGGGAGCAAAGTATAGATGGAACAAATAACAAGATGGAAGGGAAGACTCAAACACAACCATATCAATAGTGACATTAAATGCAACTGAAACCCAACAATGTATAAAACAGGATAATGCATCTTGATGAACAAGTATGATTTATTCCAGGAATGTAAGGATGCAAGGCTGTTTTACCCTTTGAAATTCAGTCAAAGTCTTTTATCATACTGTGAGACTAAAAAAAGGAAAAACCAAATGATCATCTCAACATATGCAGAAAAAACACCTGACAAAATCAAATATCCATTCCTAACAAAAATTCTCAGCACGCTAAAACAGGATGACTCTCATTCAATTTGGTAAGACATATTCTAAAATTATGGTTAACCTCATAAAAGTGAAAGACTAAATGCTTTCCCCCTAAGATCAGAAACAAGGCAAGGTCTACTCTAACTAGTTTTAATCAAAGCTGTACTTTAGATTCTAGTCAGTGTAACAGCTTTGAAAAAGAAATATAAAGCATCCAGATTGGAAATGAAGATGTAAAACAGCATAATTGTCTACATAAAAAAAATCTAATAGAGTATACGAAAAATCCATGAGAATAAGTGAGTTTAAGAAGGTTGCAAAATAAAAGACCCATAAAGCATATCAATTGTATTCATATTATGCAAAAATAAGAAACTGAAATTAAAAAACCTCATTTAGAAGTTCTTAGTGAGGGGTGCCTGGGTGGCTCAGTGGGTTAAAGCCTCTGCCTTTGGCTCAGGTCATGATCTCAGGGTCCTGGGATGGAGCCCCACATCAAGCTCTCTGCTCAGCAGGGAGCCTGCTTCCTCCCCTCTCTCTGTCTGCCTGCCTCTCTGCCTACTTGTGATCTGTCAAATAAATAAATAAAATCTTAAAAAAAAAAGTTTCAGTGATAAATCTGACAAAAGGTATGTGAGACCTATACACTGAAAACTCTGAGATATTGCCAAGGAAAAAATTAAGTATCAATATTAAGATTTCAATAATCCCCAAATTGATCTATATATTCTACATTACCCCAGTCAAAATCCCATCAGGCATTTAAAAAAAAAAAAAGAAATTGAGAAGGAGATTCTAAAATTCACATGGAAAAACAAAGAACTTAGAAGAGCCAAAAGAAATTTGAAAGGAAGAGTAAGGTTCAAAGACTGCATTACCAGGAAGCCTGGGTGGCTTAGTAGGTAGGTTGAGTATCTGCCTTCAGCTCAGGTCACGATCCCAGGGTCCTGGAATTGACCCCTGCATTGCGGTCCTTGCTCAGTGGGGAGCCTGCTTTTCCCTCCCTCTCTGCCTGCCATTCTCCCTGCCTATGCTCTCTCTCCCTCTCTGACAAGTAAGTAAAATCTTAAAAAAAATTTTTTTAATAAAAATTAAAAAAAACAAAGGCTGTATTACCTGACTTCAAGAGACTTATCTTAAAGCTATAGTAATCAAGACAATGTGCTACTGGCATCAAAATCGACCCAACTTTTCCAATCTTGGTACTACAGACATTTTGAACCAGACAATTCTTTATTGTAGGAACTGTTCTATACATTGTACAATGTTGAGCAGAAGCTCTCGCTTCTATCAGAAACCAGTAGTATCTCCCTAGCTATCACTACTGAAACGGTCTCCAGACTTTGTGTAATGTCCCCCAGAGGCAAAATTGCCCTGCTTGAGACCACTGAGATAAACAATGTATCAATGAAAAAGAACAGAGTCCAGAAAGTCACCCAAATATACGTGATCAATGAATTTTTTCATCAAGGGTATAAATTTAATTCAATAGAGAATACAGTCTTTTCATAAAATGGTACTGAAACTATTGGGTATTCATATGCAAAAAAGGTCGTATACTATGTATATAAAAATTGACTCAAAATAGATGATGCACCTAAATGTAAACTCAGTTATAAAATTTCTGAGAAGAAAACCTAGAGAAAAATCTAATCTTGGGTTAGGCAAAGATCTCTTACACAGAAGTATGATCCACAAAGGGAAAAAAAAGATACACTGGACTTAATCACAATTAAGAACTGCTCTTTATGGGGTGCCTGGGTGGCGCAGCTGTCATGATCCCAGGGTCCTGGGATGGAGCCCCGCATCCAGCTCCCTGCTCAGTGGGGAGCCTGCTTCTCCCTCTTCCTCTGCCTGCCGCTCCCGCTGCTATGCTCTATCAAATAAATGAATAAAATCTTTAAAAACAAAAAAGGACTTGTATCTAGAATATACTTTCTAAACCTCTATAATGAGAAAACAACAATTCCATTTAAAAATGAGGTAAAGAGGGGCACCTGGGTGGCTCAGTAGGTTAATGCCTCTGCCTTCGGCTCAGGTCATGGTCCCAGGGTCCTGGGATCGAGCCCCGCATCAGACTGTCTGCTCAGCAGGGAGCCTGCTTCCCTTCCTCCCTCTCTGCCTGCCTCTCTGCCTACTTGTGATCTCTCTCTGTCAAATAAATAAATAAAATCTTTAAAAAAAAAATGCCCAACCTCTGGGGATTAGAAGTTGTTTAAAAAAAAAAAAAATGAGGTAAAGATCCAAACAGACACTCCACTACAGAAGATATACATATGGCATTTAACACATGAAAAGATGTTCAACGGCATTGGTCATCACAGAAATGGAAATTAAAACCACAATGAGATACTACTATATACCTATTACAATGCCTATAATATAAAAGCCAGCCCCTACCAAGTGTTGGCTAGAACTCTCATATACAGCTGACAGGAATGTAAGGTGGCATAACCACTTCAGAAAAATCACTAGAGTTTCCTAAAATGTTAAATATATACCTACCACATAAACCAGGTATTCCACTACTATTTACTTAAGAGAAATGAAAGCATATATTCATAAAAAGACTTTTATACAAATGTTCATAGCAGCTTTATTTGTAATAGCCACGAATTGTAAACAACCCAGCTATTTATCAACAGGTGAATGGATAGACAAATTGTGGTATATCCATACAATGGAATACTACTCAGCAGTAAAAAGGAACGGGCTATTCATATATTGACACAGATTAATCTGAAAATAACTATGCTGAGTGACAAGAGTCATAAAAAATGTTCATACCAGATAATTTTTATAAAATTGTAGCAAAAGCAAACTGATTTCTCATGACAGAAAGCAAATCAGTAGTTGTTTGGGGATGGTGAAGTAGGAATGGGAAACAGAAGAAGAGGGAATGGATTATAAAGAGGCACTAGGAGCTTTAGAGGTGATGGATATGTTCATTATCTTGATTGTGGTGATAGTTTCATAGATGTATACATATATCAAAACTTACTAAATTGTGTACTTTAAATATGTGCAATTTATTTTTTTTTTAATTTTTTTATTTACTTGAAAGACAGAGATCACAAGTAGGCAGAGAGGCAGACAGAGAGAGAGGGGGAAGCAGGCTCCCCGCTGAGCAGAGAGCCTGATGCGGGGCTCAATCCCAGGACCCTGGGATCATGACCCGAGCCGAAGGCAGAGGCTTTAACCCACCGAGCCACCCAGGTGCCCCTGTGCAATTTATTTTATGTCAATTATACTTCAATAAAAATATTTTTAAAAACTCTAATATCGGACTTCTACACTGTCCTCTGGTTTTAGAATTCTTTTTTTTCCTAATTGAGATATGATTAATATATTAAGTTTAAGGTATACAATATGTTGATTTGGTAATTTATATTTTGCAATATATTACCACCATAGAGTTAGCTAATAATCACTATCATGTCACACAATTATTCGTTCCCTTTTATTACCCCCCATTCTTTCCTTTTAGATGTAGTCTCTGAGCAACTTTGAATATTATAATGTGGTATTATTGATTATAATTACTATGCTGTATATTAGAATTCTCGAACTTATTTACTGATTTCAAGTTTTACCCTTGAACATTTCTCCTGCACAATTATACCCATATCACATTTTCAAAGGTTTTTAATATTAACCATACAACTTATTTATTTTTCTCATGAATCAAATTTAGAATCCACTAGTGAGTTTTTTTAAGATTCTGATTTTATTCCTAAAGTTTTAAGACTTCAGTCAGCAACAAATATTTGCATTATTTAACAATAGTTTTCATAGTTAATGGGTATATGGCAAAAGCACACTAAGGCTTTGCCATTACAACTAAGTTAATTAAGTAGAATTACAGACATTTAGATACCAAAGCAATACACCATTTAAGATATCTGAAGCTAAATCAGCTGATAGGGAATAGTTAATACAGTACCCCTTCTGGAGACAGTAAGATTTTATACAGTACTACAAAATAGGCAGGTGGAATAAAGCGGAAAAAAAAAAAGAAAGGAAAAAAAAAAAAAGAAAAGAAAAGGAATAGAAAGAAGAGAAAAGCCAGAATGGAAAACACTGATGATCCCTCCTTTTTAACCAAGAAATATAAAGCTGTACTTAAAGATGTCATAATGCCGGGTCGCCTGGGTGGCTCAGTGGGTTAAGCCTCTGCCTTCAGCTCAGGTCATGATCTCAGGGTCCTGGGATCGAGCCCATCGGGCTCTCTGCTCAGCAGTGAGCCTGCTTCCTCCTCTCTCTGCCTGCCTCTCTGCCTACTTGTGATCTCTCTCTCTCTGTCAAATAAATAAAAAAAATCTTAAAAAAAAAAAAGATGTCACAATGCCAAGATGTGAGAAAAAGAATTACTAATACCTTATTACATGCATTATATTAAAATGTTGATGGCTGGCCGAGCTGAGAGTACTAAATGCATATACGACCTTAAATGGAATGATAACAGGAGTTACTGGTAGTTATGCTGGAAAACTTTCAAGTTCCAAATTGACCATAAATTTCTAGCCAAAGTTCGCAGGTAATTAAAGTGTTTATTTAACATCTTTAAGAGGAACAAAACTACCACTATCCCCAGAAAAAGTATAAAAAGAAAACTACCAACAAGTTTAAGAAAAAAAATAACACAGGATTTTTAATGAAAAAAATTACATTATAACAAGGACACTATACATTAAGTTACAATATATATATATATATATGTATATACACACACATTTTAAAACTTTTTAAAAAATCTGGTACAAATTAAATGACATCTTTCACATGCTCACATGATTAAGTCTGTATTTTGACAGGATGTAGAAATGAAACACAAGCTGGTGGGCCTCAAAATCAAAACTGCAATGCAGGACCAGCTTCCAAAATCTATTTTCTATCATTTTTGTGACTTTTAGAAAACATTTACCTTGGATAAGACAAGGTACTTAGTATAAAAGCTTTTTCTTTTAAGCATGTTAACTGCTTATGGAGAAATTAATATTGAAGGAAAAAGCCCACCATGGCAGTGTTTATCTATAACTCACTGTAGTATATATAAAGTTCACTGGGAGGCTTTGGAACATGGAAACTACAATGATGAAAAAAGTTCAGCTGTAATTATGAATTTCTGTTTATTTTGAATGTCCAACTCACTACTACATATATTACACCTTGCAATACATCACACAAAAGAGCAGATGTCAAAGTTTGCTGTAGAGCTGTTAGGAGAATGCGAAATATAGATACTGAAAGCTTTATGCACTTGTATTTAATACCCTGTGCATTTAAAAAATAATTGAATATTTAAAATATGTAAACATACTTTTAAAAAAGCGATGCTAAGCACCTTTAAAATACAATACTGATATGTTGTGACTGAACATGCATTTAGAGGACACATGAATTTTTAAAAATTTAGAAACTATTTTTAAAGAGCTACTCATTGAAATACTTACATGAAAATATTGATAGTTCCAGTTTCTACCTAAAAACCAAAAGAGTATACAATTAGGGACTGAAACCTTCCTTCATGCTCTTTTTTAATTTTGCTTTTTGTTTGTGAGGAGGATGCACTGTAACTTTCTGTCCTCATAAAAACAGAAACAAAAACGAGTACCAGAGAGACATTCACATAGAATGAAGTGAGAGAAATATTTTTTAACTGTGTTTTGTTAAAACTGTGTTTTGTTAAGTGCCAAAGTCTGAATCCTCTAACATCTCTCATTCTCGTAGGTAATTCACTAGAGTTTGTATCTTAACAAGCATTTCTCCTTAACAACTCAACATCAAAAAAGAAAAGAATGTCTCCAAAGGAACATAGTTAAATTGGTAAAATATTTAATAAGTTATTGCCATTAATAAAAAGTGAAGATTACTTAAAATCTTGAAAACAGTTTCCATAAACTGGAAATAACAAATGAAAAGAATATTATCTACAATGTAACACTACAATATAGATTTAGACTTATACCCTTTAAGTACACACAGACTAAGAGAACTCTGGGTTTGAGGTAATTAAGAGCTGTGTTTAACTTAGAGTAACATAATCAGCTTCGGCAGCCTGCCTCTAAAATGCTCACATCAAATATTTTCAGTTCTTAGAACAGTTAGCTATTCTAACTAAAAATCATGTATGTAATTAAATATTAACTTTGTATTAAATAGGGGCATAAATAATAATTTTATATTAAACAGGGTATAAATCTAAAGAGCAAGATGTTTTATTAAAGTTCCACTAACTTCTAATATAACAATGCTTTATACTTAGATACATATGTACCTGCAACAATTAAAATGAATTAAGAATGGGAGACCGGATTTAGAAAAGCTAAAAATGACTCATATTCATGTAAAATATTAAGGTTAAATTTCATATTCTATCTCATATCCTTTGAATATTAAACATTCATATCCATTTGAAATCCTTATTATTTTAAAATAAAAGCTTAAATATACCCACACATGGTTCCTGGGGTAAAAAAAGCCTTTACGTTGATTTCTTGACAGTTTATAATTGATATTTCTAGTTTGCCAACCTTCCAGAAAACAGAAGCTTACAATGAATATAGTGATTAGTACTTATTCAGTATTTCGAGTAAATATATTTACTCAACAAGTAAATATACATACACATCAGTTGTTTTCAAGTTTTAAATATGAACTAATTTTTTAACTACAAATACTTACCTTGAAATAGCATAAATTCTAATACCACCAATTCAGTAAGAACTCTGGCATAGAAAAATAAATACAACTCAAATTCTTTTCCAACCAGAGCTGAATCTTCAATACAAAATAGGAAAAAAAAAATCCCCTGCTGATATCAAAAAGTCCCCCAAATCATCTGTAAACACCAGGGGAAGTCTGTTATTCTTTCTGAATTCTCTCAATTTCTACATTTTCCTATCCATAAGTAGTGCTTTACCTACAATACTATATAAATCCATGCAATATATATTTATTTCTGTATTTTATCTGATTAATTCAAGTTAAAATTATGAGTACTTACCAAGACACTTTAAATTTCTATTAGATGACCATTAGTATGCTATTGGTTTGTAGTTTGAAGTATAAAAAATTATAATGGAAGAAGCCAAAATGCAACTACTGTTTCCACAAATGAGAATGCTGGGCTTCATGTTATGATTCAAATCTACTACTGTTTTATCTTCCCTAATGTGACAGACTACAAATAATCTCTCACCTGTCTGCTATAATGTAAAGAATTTCTTCACAACTTTAAAGAGGCAGTAAGTTCTTTTATCACTTTTAAATAAAAAGTCAACACACAGTCACACACACACACACACACACACTCTCTCTCTCTCTCTCTCTCTCTCTCACACACACACACACACACACACTATTTTTTGTCTTTTCAGAACCCAAATTGGATATTTTCAAGAGATGAGTTATGTAACTATTTGTGTTCAGACTATATTGTCATGAATAAATTCAGATGATCTTTTGAAATACTGGCCTCATTAGATAATCAAAAAGCATAAGAATTATACAAAATGACAGCAGTAAAATAGCTTCCAAAAATATGGACTTGGCAACAAACATATCAGTTTTAAATCAAAGTTGCTCATTGAACTAGTCTTTTAGTCCATCTATCACAATACTACACTTTGACAATATTCACCTTCTTTTTTATGACATCAGAAGTTACCCAAGTTATAAATTCTGAAAAGCTTCAATAATTTATGTGGCAGATAATTTCTTACAGTCCAAATTTTTTTTTGCTTCCATAGGCAATGCTGGTTCTTTGGGTTCTTGCTTAACTTGGCTCAGAGAATTGGTACCTTCTGGATTTTCTTCAACTTTAAAACCAAAAATAAAAGAAAAACCCTAAAGGTTAATGTAAACTTATAACACTGGAATCTTTATAATTATATGAATTTAGAAGCAAAGCAAAAAACAGTCTTTTTTTAAAAAACAGTGTATTTGAGAACTCAGTACTTCTGACATCTTAGTCATTAATAATAAATTCTTTCAGGATGTGTATACCTGAAACTAATGTTCTATTGTATGTCAACTAAACTTCAATAAAAAAATGTAAAGAAAAAGAAAAATAATAAAAAAAATTAAATGTTGAGAAGTTTAAAAAAAGTTTCTTCAGTATGCTTCTGGTAATGAAAACAAGAAGAGACTAAGAAAACCAGAGTTCCTCTCCTCTACAGATGCTTTGATAAAAAAGCAGTCCATAATTTCATGAAAGTATGAGGACTATCTCATATTTAAATTTAACTGCCTTTAAAACTATGAGTAAACAAAAGTCAGGAAGCCTCCTATTACTGGAAAATGATGTTTTGCAAACAGTAGATATATGTATTACAAATTTACAGATTTGTTACCACTCTACTATGGCCTCCATATGTAGCCATATATCAAGGCAAATACTCCTTCCCTAAAGAAACTCAACTACATGAGTACTTTAGAAAAAAACATGCCACCTCTTAATGGAGAGTTCTGACTTAGCTGTACAAGCTGTATGTTTGCTTATCTGAAACACTGCCCAATGCACTTACCATTCTGATTTTAAAGTACTTATGACCAGATTAATCTGAACGCAGCATACCAGCGACACTATCTTGAACTGGCAGGTGAGATGTCTCTTTCTCAGGGATATCAGTTTTTCAGTTGCTAAAGGGAACCAAGATTAAGGGGACCAATATTTGCTCAGGCAAGTGTGTTGAACACCCCTAATGCTTGTCACATGTGGATGTGTTAGAGTTTATCCCACACCATAAAAGAAACCAGTAGAAGATGGATTTGAGTGACCCTTAGGATTCATATTCAGGTGAAGTAGTCCCTCAGATCATGATCTAACTTGATAAATCATGCAAGTTCAGATCCCAAGAGGGTCTCCTTTAAAGCAATCTGATTAGAGCTCCCATAAATACCTTGGTACAACATAGAGGGAGGAAGCATGTTAGAATGGAAAGAAACGTTGAAGGCAGATAGATCTGGGTTAAAATCCCTGCTCTATGACTTTTAGGTAATTACTTAACCTCTCTGAGCCTTGATTAACCTATCTGTAGAATGGGGACACCACCAACTGTTACATGAAGTTCTGAGGATTAATTCACCTATATTCCTTTCCTTCTTTTCTACTAAACTTCTACTGAACTTATTTAGTAGTGACAAATACTGAACCACAGCTCTCCAGATAAATTTTCTTAAAAGTAACAATTCCAAAAAATTTAGAATAAAAAAGTAACAATTCCAAAAGATTTTAAAAATTTAAAATTTAAAATCTTTTGGAATTGTTACTTTTAAGAAAATGATTCTTTTCTGGAAGGAACTAACTTACACTTTTCCTTACCCAGAAGAATGAAGTCTAAGAATCCGGGTAAATACTTTGTATGTTCTAAGGATTTCTATGAAGATTTCTATGAAGATTTTTGTTCTTCAAAGCAAACTGCAAATCTTTCTCCACAAAAGTTCGCAATCCGAAACAATCTATGTGAAAGGGAGTGACGTAGGTCAAGTAGGAGTAGGTTGACTGGGTTTGTTACAAAGTAAAGTTAACAAGGTCTTGGATTAAACCCAAGTCCCTAAGGCTTAACTAGTTCCCTTTCAATTTCCATAGAACTCAACATTAAAGTTTATAACTCAAAATCTTTAACATTTTTATCTGTCCACTTCATTCCATTTTTCCTTGTAACATTTTTTCCATAGTAACCTTTACACTGTAAGTTTTCCTTTTAAAGTTTCTCATTTTACGGGGCACCTAGGTGGCTCCATCAGTTAAGTGGCTGCGTTTGGCTCAGGTCATGATCTCAGGGTCCTGGGATTAAGCCCCACTCGGTTCTCTGCTCAGTGGGGAGTCTGCTTCTCTCTTTCTCTCCACTCCTCCCCCCCTGGCTATGCCTCTCTCTCTGTAATACATACATAATCTTTGAAAAAATAAAGTTTCTCATTTTTTTCATGCATTCTACAATGACCCTCTGATTTTGTATCACCACAGATTTTCTATGTAAACTGAGGTAATTAGAGAATACTTTTGATGGAGAAGAAAAAACTAAAGAGCTTAGGAGTTATTATGCTCTTGATATTTTTCCCTTTTTCTAGTAGTTGCACTTTATTTATATTTTGTAAACCCCTGAGTCGAAATGATTTTTTTTTTCTGTAGTGTAACAGTAATGATAGTCCAAAAAGGTTAAAAATAAAATCACAAGTTGCTTTTAACTTACTAATAGCTGGGTGGCTATCTATAATCTGTATTGGGATGGTCTGCCCATTTCCCAGCAGAATCCGGTGAACACCTCCTTCCATATTCTCTGCATCCTCAACATCTCCAACTTCCACCAGCTGGTCCATTGCAGCCAGATTTTGATCTGGTCCTGGAAGGCTAGTCATGGTAGAGGCAATAATGCTACTGTTTGGGGTTAGGCATGTATCTGTTTGAAGACTATGACTTTGACCAAGCAGTAGAGAATTATTATTCATTACAGTACTTTCTAATGAATCCAGAAGTCTTGAAGGACTGGAGGAAGGGTGGTTATTTACTGATATCACAGCCGGTGATCCATCAGGAGAAGTGAATCTTGGTTGCAACTGCAAACCCTTTTAAACCGAAAAGAGTTACATCAAAATGTTTAAATTTACTAAGTATAATTTTCTCATAGGATATCTTATTCTTTTGACACATAATTGGAATAAAATAGAGGAATATAATTACTAACAAATATCAAGGACAGAAACAAGAATCAAAGGAAAAGTAGTACAACGAAATTTTATTGCATGCACAGTCAACTCCAACTTTTTAAAAATGTATTATTTAAATGATCTTATATCAAGATACAAAAACATCACAAAATTAATAATAAAGACATCTATTGATCATTATTATAATTCTATAATAATTCTATAACATCCCTAGAAGAAGAGAGATTAAGGAAGAAAGGGAAGGGCTTCAGTTTTGTCTATCTCACTGGATACCTACCTGTAGTTGTGTAAATATTTTTGGTTGAAATGAGGAAAGTGAAGAAAGCAAGTGGGCCGGCTCTGGAGACAAAGAACCCCTTGTCTGATTTGTTTCCACTTTGGTGTTACTTGATTCCCCTGGTGAATTTCCTAAGTTATATATAAAAAAAAGTCATCTATCATAACAAAATAATGTTTATGGTTTCTATGTTATATGACACTACATTTTATTACAACACTTACTATTACAATTAGAATAGGAAATAAATTCAAAGGTTTGAAAAGGACTTTAAGAAGTTCTTTTGTTCACTGTTTCCAGACCTGGTAGAATCAGAATCACTCAGGAACTTTTTGAAAATATACATTCTGAGGTTCAACCTCCATTAATTTTAATTCAGTGTATCTAGGATGTGATGTTAGAAACAGTAGTTTTTTCCTTGAAAGATTATGTATTTGTAACTCTAATCTGGCCCATTTTCCATGCTATGATGCTAGACTACCTCTAAACTTCTCTGGATGTGTGAAACCTATGGAGCCTCTCAATCACAGAGACCAAACTTAATTCATCTTTGGTAGCCCTAATGCCTAGGACAATGCCTGACATGAAGTGGGTCCTCCAAAATAGCAGCGCTAAATTTCTTTCAATAACTCATTTTGGAATAAATGACTAACAGTAAAAATCTCTCTGTTTGCTTATTATCTCAATTGCTAAAGTAAATGTCCTTAGGGAATATAATCCCTCTCTTGTAATTTCTATGTATTAATCCAAATATATTAATCTCTTTAAGTCAATCAAAAACCAATTATCAACTGTTTATTGCTTCCATATTGAAACTAAGTAATTTTTCAAAATGGTCCTGGCATGAGACAGGGATGGAATTAAGCACTAGCTCACTTTTCTCTGTAACCTTCAACATGCTACTCGGTTTTTAAACCCCAGTTTCATCTGTAAAATCAGGATAGTAAGAGAATCTCCTTCAAGGGACTGTGAGAAGATTAAACAATAACTTTCACATTTCTTGGCTTCGTTAGTTCTTTTTCTTAAATTAAGGTACAGGTGATACACAATGCTACAACAGTTTCAGCTATAATGACTCCACAAGTTTATATGTTGTGCTATGCTCATTCAAAGTGTAACTGCTCTCTGCCACCATACAAGGCCATTACAGTACCATTGATTATGTTCTCTTTTATCCCTGTGACTTGTTCATTCCAGAACCCGAAACCTGTATCTCCCACTCCCCTGCACCCATTTTGCCCATCTCCCACCACTCCCCCGCCTCTGGCAAGCATCAGTTTGTTCTCTGTATTTTCATTTGCTTATTTGTTTTGGTTTTCAGATTCTACATATAAATGAAGTCACGTGGTACATGTCTTTCTCTGTCTGACTTATTTCATTTTCTGGCATCTTCATTTCTAATTGTCCTTGCACTTCACTCTGCTGCAGCCACCCACTACTGCTATCATACCCTCGGCTCTTCTACACCTAAAAATCTCTACTTCAGATATCCCATTCTTTGATCACAACCTCTTATTCTTCCAGGGATTTTGCTTAAGTACTTCACTACAATTATTCGACCTCCGGTGAACCTCCAGTCCTTTGATTCCTCAGTTTTCTTCAGATACATCAACTTCTCACTTAATAAACTTCTCTCCCCATCCAGCTTAGTCGAATCCCACGGTTATAGCTTCAGTCACTCTCCTGAAAATCCTCTAACCTCCCTTGCTTCTTTGTACTTTTGTTACAACCTGGTACAATCCGAGCACTGAATGAAAATGGCTTCCAGTGGCTCTATGTGCGAAGCTGAATGCCACTGAGAAAGAAACTTACTGCTACTACTAATACCAATTCATGATCACCAACTTCAACAGGACCTTCACCTGTACCTGACAACCTTACAAGTTTTCTCCCATTCTCTCTCTATATATTTTAAAGTTTTTATTTATTCACTTGACAGAGAGAGACACAGTAAGAGAGGGAACACAAGCAGGGGGAGCGGGAGAGGGAGAAGCAGGCTCCCCACCAAGCAGGGAGCCTGATGTGGGGCTCGATCCCAGGACCCCGGGATCAAGACCCGAGCCAAAGGCAAATGCCCTATGGCATCTGCCACCCAGGCGCCCCTCTCCCATTCTACATTATAGAAGATTTCAAATGTCTAATCTTGGTCACACTTTTCACTCTTAGCACTTTTAAAGAGAAAAGAGAAATTATCAGAAATCTCCTCAATTTCTCATCATCAAAGCTATCCAGTACCTTCATCTTCATCTCTCTCTTCAGATCTCTTCTATCTGAAAATACCTTCCCTCGACCCTGTATTCTCTTCATAGCACACTGTCTCTACTTCTTCATTCATCACTCATTCACTCTTCAACGGTCCCAATGTGGCTTCTTCCCAATCCACTCAATTGAAATGGCTATGATACCTAAGCTTTCCAAACCTGATTTCATGAATTTTTTTTCTTTCCCCTTGTCATTAATTCTTAAATCAGTTTTGCCTATTCTTAAATCAGTTTTGCCTACCTCAGTAAATGCCACTACCCATCAGCTGCTCATGGAAGAAACTCAGGAGTCATCCCAGATCATTCCTATTCTTTTACCCCCCCACACCTATTCAATCAATAACCAAAACCTTTGAAAACAATGAAAATCTGTCCAATTCTAGTATAAGTGCCACTAAATGTAGACTAAATCACTATCACACCTTTCATTTGGACAGCTCAAAGGGCCTCCTAAGCCCATTCTGCATATCTAGTTTTATCTCCAAGCACTGTCGATGCTTAAAACCACACCAACTTTCTTAAGTTCCTTGAACATGACAAGCTCTTTGTTGCTTAGCTTTCAAACACAGTATTCTTTGGATCGACAAATTCCTATCCATTCTGCAGTTCTCAGTTTAAAAGCTACTTTCTCAAGCGTTATTTCCCTACTCCCTAGATTAAGTTATATGTCTCTGTCACTATTCTCACACAATTTTGCACAATTCTTTTATGGCAATATAACAGTAATTAGAATATATTTATATATTCTAATTTATATTTATATATTCTAATTTATAATTCTATAATTTATAATTTATATAATTTATAATTCTATTATTTATAATTCTATAATTTATATATTATATATAGAATACATTTAATATATATATTAGTGTCTTTTTCTCTTGCTAAATTTGAAATTCAATGAAGCAAGAAACGTTTTCTTTTTTATGTCCAGCATTTATCCTATTGTGTACAATAGGTGCAGAACAAATGAATAATGATAAAGAATTTGGAAGTTATTCTTCATGCACAGTGACTCTTGAAGGTTAAACAGCCAAAAAAGAGAGAGATAATTGTACTGTATACAGTTATTCATTAATTTATTCTGAAGCATTTATTTAGATGTTAACTTTGTAGCAGGGATTATGCTAGCAACTAGTTATGTTAACTTGAATGAAATATAACCCTTGCTCCTGAGGAACTCAAACCATAATGAAAGATACAGATGTATAAACAAAAGGATACCATGTTAAACTAAGTACAAAAGACTGAATGTCTAACTTTATACAGGGCCGAAGTTAAGTGAGCACTTAAAGCCAAATGGATTGACTGGAGAGTGAGAGGAGTTAGCCATACAGAAGCAGAGAAAACACATTTCCAGAAGAGGAAAAAAAGGGTAAAATAAGCTTGGAATAGTAAGATAACATAGGAGAAACAGCATATGAGAAAAAGCAAACCATGTAAAATGGACAAAATTTCCTGATCAAGGTATCTTAAGTTTATTATTACTGGAATTAGCCTAGCTTTATAGTGATCTGTACTAGTAATCAGCCTCAAAATTTAATCATAAAGCACAAAAGCTGATTATATGAAGAAATTTATTTTTTTAAGTTTATTTATTTATTTTTGGTAGTCTAGATCTACACCCACTGTGGGACTTGAACTCACAAACCCAACATGAAGAGTCATATGCTCTTCCAACTAAGCCAGCCAGGTACCCTTATTTTTTATTTTTGTTTGCATATAGTTGACACATGATGTTACTTAGTTCCAGGTGTATAACAGTGATTCAACTTCCCTGTATCTTATGCTATGCTCACCACAAGTATAGCTACCAAAACTGTCACCAAACACTGTGATTGTAGTATCATTGACTATATTCCCTATGCTGTGCCTTTAAAAAAAAAAAAAAAAAAAAATATTTATTTGAGAGGGGAGGGAGGGGAGAGAAAGAGGATCTTCAAGCAGACTCTCCACTGAGCATGGAGAACCCAATCTCATGACCCTGAGGTCATGATCTGAACTGAAACCAAAAAGGTTTCTAAGCCAACTGAGCCACCTAAGCAACCCTACGCCTTTCATTCCTGTGACTTATTCATTCTATAACTGGAAGCCTTCTCCTACTCCCCTCACCCATTTTGCCCATCCCACACCACCTCTCCCCTTTGGCAATCATCAGCTAGTTCTCTGTATTTATAAGTCTGATTCTGCTTTTTGTTTATTCACGTGTTTTGTTCATCAGAGTCCACATGTGAGTGAACTCATATGGTATTTGTCCTTCTCATTAGAAGTTTGATTTATTTTACTTAGCATAATACTCTCTAGGTCCATCCACGTCATTACAAAAGGGAACGTGTCATCCTTTTTTACAGCTGAATAACATATATGAGAAAGTCTATGTGAGTAACATGTAAGTATATACATTTAAACAGCTAGAATTATTTTGACAAATCCTAACGTAGTTGTTCCTGTCTCTTCGGGCCATGGTTTCTTTATCCATGAAAAAATTTTGATTAGATGAGATAATACCTTCAGTGTCTTCCAGTTTTAATACTGATTTTATTTAAAGATATTCAAAATAACCTACCTTCTGCAAATGTAACTGTCACAGTCTCTCTGAGAATATGCCCATTATCTGCAGTCCACTGAAGCTGGAATGGGAACATTTATTTCAGTAAAAACAATAAAGCATTTATATTAAAAAATGTTTTAAAATATCAATACAACTATCATATTTTATTCAGTGATCGTGTAACTGTGCTTTATTCAGTAATTACACTCTTCACTTGTTTACATTCTCAAAACATGAGTATACTTCACTATCCAAATACAATAGCTTCCCAAGTTCAGATAGCAAGAATTTGGATAGCAAGTACAGATGGCAAAGATTATTGCTAACCAGATCCATTTTACTTCCCGAACTTTGGATAGTGAATAATTAAGAGAGTCTGGGATGGAAAAGAATAGTAGCACTAGCTTAAAATCTGAATCTATTTAGGTAAGAAGACATAATTAATAATAGTAAAAATTTGGGAAGCAAAGGGTATTGCTACTGAGATTTTTTTTTTTTAAAGATTTATTTATTTTAGAGAGCAAGAGGAAGCACCTGTAAGCATTGGGGAGAGGGAGAGGCAGAAAGTCATGACCTGAACTGAAGTCAAGAATCGGGACACTTAACTGACTGAGCCACCCAGGTGCCCCACTACAAAGGTTTTAATGCTATAATTAATTCCTGTATTATAATTAGTAGTTTTTGTATAATTACATTATACTCGTCAGAGTAAGCAAAATTTTCATAGAACTGACCAATATTCTGGGGGAAATTAGAGTATCACAGTATGAGATAAAATTGATATCCATAGACGGCATATAGAATGAACACTATCCCTTTGTGTCTTCAAGTCTGAACTATTCTGCTGAAACTTGTCTATTTTTTTTTTTTAATTCAAAGATTTTATTTTTTAGGGGCACCTGGGTGGCTCAGGGGTTGAGCCTCTGCCTTCAGCTCAGGTCATGATCTCAGGGTCCTGGGATCAAGCCCCCTATCGGGCTCTCTGCTCAGCAGGGAGTCTGTTCCCCTCTCTCTCTGCCTACTTGTGATCTCTCTATCAAATAAATAAATAAAATAAAATAAATCTTTAAAAAAATTTAAAAAAAGAAAAACTACTATTTCTTCTTTTTTTAAAAAAGGTTTTATTTATTTATTTGAGAAAGAGAGAGAGAGAGCACGAGGAGCAGGGGCAGAGGGAGAAGAGAAGCAGACCTCTGCTATGCAAGAAGCCTGACACAGCACTTGATTGCAGGACCCCAGAATCATGACCCAACCTGAAAGCAAATGCCTAACTGACTGAGCCATCCAGGTGCCCCTCTTTTTTTTTTTTTTTTAAAGATTTATTTATTTCAGGGGTGACTCCGTGGCTCAGTCGGTTAAGCAGCTGCCTTTGGCTCAGGTCATGATTCCAGGGTCCTGGGATCGAGTCTCACATTGTGCTGCCTGCTCAGTGGGGAGTGTACTTCTCCCTCTCCCTCTGCCTGCCGCTCCCCTTGCTTGTGCGCACTCTCACTCTCTCTGTCAAATAAATAAATAAAATCTTAAAGAAAAAGATTTATTTCAGTGAGAGAGAGAGCTCAGGGCGGGAAGGGCACAAGAAGAGGGAGAGAGAAACTCAAGCAGATCGCGCACTGAGAATGGAGCCTGACGCAGGGCTCAATCTTGTAACCCTGAGATCAGAGCTGAGCTAAAACCAAGAGCTGGATGCTTAACAAACTGCGCCACCAAGGCACCCCTAAAACTACTATTTTTACATGTTTATGTTTATATGTTTATATAAACATGTTTATGTTTATATGGCTACAGTTATTTATATGGCCTACTAACAAACACCCCATTAGGCCAAATAGTAAGAGAAGTTGAGAAAGATTCTATAATAAAACAAAGAATTACAATTGTAATCCTACCGTTGCTGGAATAATCTCTGAGTTATACACATTATCTCCATTTCTCAAGGATTTCTGTACCTCATGGATGTGATTTTTAATATCATTTACAGTTGGAAAAAAGGATAAATTATGTCTCTCAGGTACTTCATCAGGTTTAAATAATTCTCTTTCTACAAATTTTCTGTGGAGAGCATAAAACAGAATAAAAACATAAACAGCCTAGTAATACACTTCAGATCAAAGGAGAAAATGGTTCTTTTTTTAGCATAAATTTCTGTAAATTATGGTTTACAGCTTTATAATTTATATTTTTCCCCTTAATTTTTTCTGCATATTAAATCAAATAAATCATGCAGATTAAAGCAATATAATACTTTCATTGATTAAATACCTCTATATCTAGAGTAAGCTTGGACATTTTTATAGGAATCATTATTGTCAGTTTAAGCATAATACGTTTTGAATGCTATGTCAGGCAGTATACTGAATATTTCACATCAAGGATCTCCTTTAATGCTTACTATAATCCTGTGAGATAAGTGCAATTATCATTCCCACTTTACAGATAAGGGAACTGAGGGCTGTTGAAGTTAAATAACTTGCCAAAGTTATACATCTAGCCAGTAAGCAAGAGAGCCTGGGCCCACACCCAGTTTATTGTATAAACATCATGTTACTCTGCGGCCAAAAGGCATCACAGTATGAAATATGACCTGATTGAATTTAAGTAGACAAAAGAGAAATATAGAAATAGAAGGTGGCATTGACACATCAATATATAAAAAATACATAAAAAATTATAAAGTCCCATATTTATATGGTTTATACATTACATTCTATAGACCATACTGCAGAGCTGAATTACACCTCTGTTCTTAAGGTTCAAGTTTAGTAAATAATGTACAACTTTACCAAATTTTGGCTCTGTTCTAACAACGCCCCAATGAAAATGAATGTAAGATGTCTGAGAAAACTGCTAAATGGGAAAATCATGTATTAACTAAGACAGAATCCTAGGAAATATATACATTGTGTTATTCAGATCGGACTACATAATAACCAGTAGGAATAACGCCAGTTAAGTACTAGAAATCACAGTAAAAGAGCACAGGCTGTGGCATTAGCTCTCGATTTCAGTTCTGCGTCTTCATCTTGAGCCGGTTATTTAACCACTTGTAGTACCTGCTTTCTCATGTGCGGGATGGAGGTAAATATACCCACTTTATATAGTTGCAAGAATAAATGCGATCATGAGTATTGTATCCTGAGAATCAGTAACGCTGTACCAGAGCGCTACATGTAAACTTCCATCATACAAAGAACTATCCATGTTCTTTTGTTATAATACAATTTCATTGCATTTCAAATAGCTTCAGTAAGTATCCTGGTCTAGGTTTTCAAATCTTTGGCTCTATGAAGGCTTTTTTTTCCTATAGAGGCATTTATTATGTATTCAATTTATATATAATTCAGAAATAGTCCAATTTGCTAAATTTGAATATGGAATATTTCAAATGAGTAAGCTGAATCATTACTCACAGCTTGCCAAGTATCTGTTAGAAAATGATCAGTTCATAAATAAGATTATTTTAACAAATTAATAAATTATATTCCTTAACTATTCTGATAACATACAGCTTGGAAAAGGTTTATGATGATAAATATATTATTTAAACCAACAAACAATAATGAAAAATGTAAAAGAATAATTTCTTTTTACTGTACCTTAGCTGTTTCCTTACTGTATATACTTGTTCTATTCCCTGTGACACTAATTCTTGAATCTTGTGTGCTACTTGGGGATGTAGACGTGAGGGTAATGCACAGTTCTCATCCCTAATTGCAGTTTCCTCTTCTTCAAGAGAAGACACAGTAAAAGAGGAAGGTGGCAAAGGGAGACAGGAAGTCTCTAATTCATGGTACTGATGAGCTTGCTTTGTAGGTAACTGTACATACCACCTGATAAGAAGAAATACTTAAAATTATGTTACTAGATGAAGGCAAGAATCATAGTTACTTATGTTAAAACTCAACAAGAAAAATAATTTTTTTTAAAGATTTTATTTATTAGAGATCACAAGTAAGCAGAGAGGCAGGCAGAGAGAGGTGGAAGCAGGCTCCCCGCTGAGCAGAGCACCCCAAGAATAATCTTTTAAGAAAAGATGATATATCATATTAAGTAAATGTAACTAAAATTTTAAAATAATAGATATCGGGGCACCTAGGTGGCTCAGTGGGTTAAGCCTCTGCCTTCAGCTCAGGTCATGATCTCGGGGTCCTGGGATCGAGCCCCACATCGGGCTCCCTGCTCAGTGGGAAGCCTGCTTCTCCCTCTCCCACTCCCCCTATTTGTGTTGTGTCTTTCTGTCAAATAAACAAATAAAATCTTTGAAAAAAATAAAAATAAAAAGGATATAAATGAAATTTAAAATGTTCTAGGCTTCTTCTTTTTAGAAATAGTTAATTAACTTATTTATTTGAGAGAGAGAAAGAGAGAGCACGTGCACACACTGGGGCAAGGAGAGGCAGAAAGAGAGTGGAAAGAGCGGGCGAGGCAGAGAATCTCAAGCAGACTCTGTACTGAGCATGGAGTCCAATTTGGGGCTCATCTCAGCACCCTGAGCTGGACAGCCAACCAACTGAGCCACCCAAGCATCCCCTACCCCCCTGCTTGACTCTTCTAAGTTGGCTTTATATCCAATTAAATAAAAATCTTTATAAAACCTTATGGATTTTCACTATGGCCCTTTAGTTAAGGAGGGTATAGGAGTTAAGTATATATGAAAATGGTATTTTAAATTTCATGCTAATTAAATTTACCTCAAAATAATGAGACTTTTAAAGTCATCATCTTCTAAACTGTATTTTCCCATTCTTCTATGATTTTGTCCCCAAATTATTCTGTGTTCCACCTATAATCCTTCCAAACAAAAGGTGGCTATAATTCAGAGTCTACCAAGACTGAGCTCAGTGGGAGAATCTTCCCTGACAGGAGCTCAATATACTACCTCTATTGCCCCACAGCCCCTCTACTGCACAAGCTCTTACCAATGAGCAAGAGAACCAACTAGAAGATGAATATAGGTCTTTCATATTGCAGTGCAAAAGAACAGATGCTAGGAAAATGGAATGATCTGGTAGGATACTGTTTTAATTGATACTTTTGTATAAAGTGTTTGCGATGACTGATACTGCATGAAATGGAGGCTATTTAAAAATTATATGCGATGTTCTCCAGCTCATTGAACGTGGGGCTACATCTTTGGATTCCTTGTTCTTCTCAAGCTGAGCCAGGCCTACACAGAAGCAACCATGTCAGCTGGCATTGATCTTGGCACCACCTACTCCTGCGTGGGTGTCTTCCAGCACAGCCAAGTGGAAATAATTGCCAGTGATCAGGGAAACCGAACCACCCCAAGTTATATCACCTTCATGGACACTGAATGATTGATCGGTGATACTGCAAAGAATCAAGTTGTGATGAACCCCACCAACACAGTTTTTGAAGCCAAATGCCTGATTAGACAGAGATTTGATGATGCTGTTGTCCAATCTGATATGAAGCATTGGCCTTTCATGGTGGTCAATGATGCTAGCAGGCCCAAGGTCCAAATAGAATACAAGGGAGAGACAAAAAGCTTCTATCCAGAGGAGGTGTCTTCTACGGTTTTGACAAAAATGAAGGAAATCACAGAGGCTTATCTTGGGAAGATGGTTACCAATGCAGTTGTCACAGTACCTGTGTACTTCAATGATTCTCAGCGTCAGGCTACCAAAGATGCTGGAACTACTGCTGGTCTCAATGTACTTTGAGTCATCAATGAGCCAACTGCTGCTGCTACTGCTCATGGCTTAGACAAAAAGTTGGAGCTGAAAGGAATGTGCTGATCTTTGACTTAGGAGGTGGCGCTTTTGATGTGTCAATCCTTACTACTGAAGATGGGATCTTTCAGGTTAAGTGCACAGCTGGAGACACCCACTTAGGTGGAGAAGACTTTGACAACTGAATGGTCAACCATTTTATTGCAGAGTTCAAGCACAAACATAAGAAAGATATCAGTGAAAACAAGAGGGCAGTTCGTCATCTCTGTACTGCTTGTGAACGTGCTAAACATACACTTTCTTCCAGCACCCAGGCCAGTATTGAGATTGATTCTCTGTATGAAGGAATCAACTTCTATACTTCTATCACTCATGCCGGGTTTGAAGAATTAAATGCTGACCTGTTTTGTGGCACCCTGGACCTTGTAGAGAAAGCCCTTCGGGATGCCAAGTTAGACAAGTCTCAGATCCATGATACTGTCCTGGTGGGTGATTCTACCCGTATCCCCAAGATTCAGAAACTTCTCCAAGATTTCTTCAATGGAAAGAACTGAATAAGAGCATCAACCTTGACAAAGCTGTTGCTTATGGTGCAGCTGTCCAGGCAGCCATCCTTTCTGGAGACAAACCTGAAAACGTTCAAGGTTTGCTGTTGTTGGATGTCATTCCATTTTCTCTTGGCATTGAAACTGCTGGACGAGCCATGACTGTTCTCATTAAGCATAATACTACCATTCCTACCAAACAGATACAGATCTTCACTACCTACTCTGACAACCAGCCTGGTGGGCTTATTCAGGTGTATAAAGGTGAGCGTGCCATGACCAAGGACAACAACCTATTTGGAAAGTTTGAACTCATAGGCATACCTCCTGCCCCTTGTGGTGTCCCACTGATTGAGGTCACTTTTGATATTGATGCTAATGGTATCCTCAAAGAGAACAAGATTACCATCACTAATGATAAGGGCGACTTGAGCAGGAAGACATTGAGCGCATGGTCCAGGAAGCTGGGAAGTACAAAGCTGAAGATGAGAAACAGCGGGACAAGGTGTCTTCCAAGAATTCACCTGAGTCTTACACATTCAACATGAAAGCAACTGTTGAAGATGAAAAACTTGAGGGCAAGATAAATGATGAAGACAAACAGAAGATTCTTGACAAGTGCAATGAAATCATCAACCGGCTCGATAAGAACCAGACTGCCAAGAAGGAGGCATTTGAACACCAGCAGAAAGAGCTGGAGAAAGTCTGCAATCCCATCATCACCAAGCTGTACCAGAGTGCAGGGCGCATGCCAGGAGGAGTGCCTGGAGGCTTCCCTGGCAGTGGAGCTCCTCCCTCTGGTGGTGCCCCCTCTGGGCCCACCATTGAAGAGGTTGATTAAACCAACCTGAGAATAAATAGGTCTAGCATTGTTCCACACACAATATTCAAAGGACCCAAATTTGTAGCAAAATCCATGGCAGCTGTAGAGTTGAGCTGCTATAGCAAAAAACTGGGCATTCTTGATACCTGAATATGGAATATGTGCACAGGAAAGGAAATAAACATTGCATTTTTGTTTTAATTTTATTTATTTACTTGACAGACAGAGATCACAAGTAGGCAGAGAGGCAGGCAGAGAGAGAGGGGAAAGCAGGCTCCCTGCTGAGCAGAGAGCCCGATGTGGGGCTCGATCCCAGGACCCTGAGATCATGACCTGAGCTGAAGGCAGAGGCTTAACCCACTGAGCCACCCAGGCACCCCGACATTGTACTTTATAAGCACTGTATTGTTAAATGGAAAATGCAATGTCTTAAATAAAACTGTATTTAAAATTGGCAAAAAAAAAAATTATATGCAATGTTCTCCAAAATGAATGATCTAATTATTGGCTACTCATTTTTCATATATCCAAAAGTTCATTTTACATACTTATGTATTTATTTTTTTAAAGATTTGTCTATTAGAAAGAGAGAGAGAGAGTGAGCCCACAAGACTGGGGATGTGCAGAGAGAGAAGAGCAAACTCTCCCTGAGCATGGAGTCTGACACAGCTTGATCCCACAACTCCAAGATCATGACCTGAGCTGAAAGGTCAGCTCCAAGAGTTGGAACACCCAACCAATTGAGCCACCCAAGTGTACATATCCAAAAGTTTTTTTGTTTTGTTTTTACAAAAGCTATATTGCACTTAATCCCATTGTACTACTGTAAATTCTTCCTGTGGATGAACCCATAAAGAAAAGTAAGAAAGCCAGCCAACATTCTTCTTATGTAAACTCTGAAGCACAAAAAGTATATTAGAATGGAATTTTATGTAGGGCTTAGAATTAATTTCTGGCTGCTATAGGTAATCAAAGATGGGTTAAAATATATATATGTAGGTGACTATAAGTTTGGCTCCTAAGAAATATCAAAACAAAGTATGAAATATATAATTATATGTGTTGCTAAAGACGTATTTGTCATTTTGGGGAAAACTTTCCATATGGTATACATAAGTCTTTGGTAAGCATTATCAGAACATGTGGTTGATAAACTCAATGGCTTACACAGTAGCAAATTTTAATACCTAGGGAATTGCTAATGAGACATCTCCCTTATTAAACCATTCTTAATGAAATAATTAGAAGACATATTTATAATTTCTCTTACAAAAATATCTTATAAATGGAGCTAATTAATTTGTAAAAATAAAATAATAATATAAATGTCATACCTAAGAACACCACCAGCATCTACCAAGTTCTTCTTTAGCATGTTAAAGGCTTTTTCCTGCTCCATTCGGATTATTTTCCTATCAATTTTGGGGTCTGTAGGAACTCTATATTCAGGAAACTTCTGTACCTTTTTAATATAAATCCTGTTTGTAAGTAAAAGAAGAATTTCTTTCATTATAATATCAAGAAAATCAAATTTACCAAGTGGAAGTTTACGCATTGAAGTTTAGAGAAAAATCAATTAAACTAGAAAGCATTCAGCGGATTATGTTGAAAAACAGGCCATATTCTCAGTGCGTAATATTTAGCAAATTAACAATAATCAAAACATCAGGAAAAATATCTGAATATTTATGGCTATCAACTTTTGTTTCTGGATTTGCCTCTTCCCAATTTTCCTGGAAGCCATAAAAAACTCATGCCTGGGGGTTCTGGGAGGGCGCTGGCAGGAGGGGATGGGCAGCAGCTGTGGCAGCTGGAGGATGAAGAAGGAGCATGTGCGGCACTGTCAGTTCTCTGTGTGGCAGCCGCTGTTCGGAAGCCTTACCATTACGTGTCATTCTTCCATTCCTCAGAATGTGAAGGATTATTTACTTGATGATGGAACTCTGGTGGTTTCAGGAAGAGAAGATCCGCCAACAAGTTCTTAGCCAAACAGTGATAATAAGGCAGAAGAAATATAGTGGTCGGATGATGAGAACATGGATACCCTTATGGCACCAGAATTTCCCAAAGTCACCACTAAAGGTCAAGAAGCTATCAACTCCTGGGGAGGTGGGGGGGTGTATTTCCTAAGCTTAACTGGAGTGCCCCAAGGGATATATACTGGATAGCAATGAACAGTTCTCTGAAATGTAAAGCCCTCAGTGAAGTCTTTCTATTGTTCAAGAGTTCTGATTTCATCACTCACAACTTCATTCAACCATCTTTTTCATTGTACTGATGATTCTCCACATCCCTGTATAGAATATGAGCTTATTCTTTGAAAATGGTATGAATTGATTCCGCAGCCTTCCGTTACACAAATGGTAAAGTGACAGTGCAACCCTGTCTTACGTGAGTTACTGACTTCCCAAAGACTTTGCAGACCCGTCTACTGGGAAGGATGCTCATAAACTCATTGATTTTCATAAACTGAAAAGAAAATGGTAAGAGGATGACTGATGAGAGCACCAGAGTTCAAGTCCCAGGTAAACAGGAAACCACACTGGTGGTCAGGAGGCTACTTTCAACTCACAACTTCCTGTTACCCGATTCTGTTGGAGTGAGAGACAGTGTGAAATCAATATTTTTTTATATTCATATACAATAAGCCAGAAAAAAAGGGAGGAACTTTGCTACTTGTAAAAATAAATGATAATTAGACCTTAAACATAAACAAAAAACTCACGCCGGGATTAATTTAATAGCCTCCTTCTGGGCCTCTTGGTCTCGTTCCTTAAATCTACTTGATATATTAATACTACAATAATTCTTCACATTTGTACTTCTCTGTTGAAGAATCTACCTGCTCTTTAATCGAGTACAAATTTCTTGGCATGAGTCAAGGCATCCCATATGATTCTAGCTTATTTACCTAATCTAACTTTCAATTACTTCAAATGTAAAATTGCTTTTTTCAGACAAGTTTATCATTTCAATGTTCCTTCTTCCTCTGTTACCAAAAATACAATCACATCATGTCTTTATTCATACAATTTCCTGACCTACAATATCTCCCCCCTCACTCTTTATCTACCCACACGCAATCTAAACTTCAGCATTCATGTTAAGTTGTACTTTCTTCCCTGTTAATGAATTTGCATGGATATGTTCCTTCTCTGCTGAGTTAGCTAACCTGACACATTTGGTACTATATACTATACCATTATCTTTTCCAAGTTTTTTGTTTTCTGATCTGCCTCAACTATATCTTAAGTTTCCCATGATTAAGTAGTATCTTGTACCTCTTTCAGTCTCCCTCTTTCCCATGGAACCCAAAGTATTGCTGGACACAACTGATATTCAAAAAGTACTTGTAGAATGATATAGGGAATAAAGTTATTTCTTCACACATAGAGGTTTTCTCCCAAGTTATATCTGAAGTTTTATACTGCTTATATTTAAAAGCAGTTAAAAGTTTTGCTTCACAGTCAAGTTTAAATATTACCTAAAGTTATGAAAACTCTTCTGAACTAATTTGAAGAACTTCTTGAGAATGTACAGGTTTGTGATATAAAATGTGATGTTGAAATAAAATATTTCAAAGATCAACTATACCCAACCTTTATACATTATCTTTTAAAATTTTATCTGAGAATTTAAAACTTTCAATGTCTAAAAAAAATTAGAAAGAACATTACAAAAATCTTTTATTGCTTCAAATTTTTCATTCTCACCCAAAGCAATCACCAATCTGTAGTCTTAGTCTATCTAAAACTTACTGTGTTGATCTCATACATTGCTGGTATGAATATTATTATTAAAATCTTTCTAAAGAGCAATTGTCTTTGTAATATCTGTAAACATTTGAAATAATATAACCTTTGCACTAGCAATTTCATTTCAACAAATTTATTCTACTGACGTACTTGCACAAGTATACAAATAGGTATAATGTTATTAACTGGAGCTTTGTATATAATAATAAAGAATACTTTTCAGATCTTACATGTCCATCATTAGAGGACTAATTCAGTAAATGACAATCCATCCATAAATGCAATATTGATGGCTCCTGAAAAGAAGGAACCATGAAACTAATACAATGTTATATGCCAATTATATTTCAATTTTTAAAATAAATAAATGCAAAGAAGGAACAAGTCCTTTCATATGCAGATATGGAGACAATTTTGAGATATACTGGGAATGAAATAACAAAAACAAAAAGAATAGAGTGGTATATATCATTACATTCACACTAGTGTGAAGCAAAAACAGTTGTGCAGTAAATAACCACAATAGGCATTTAGAATAGAAATAAAGCAATGTGAATTCACAGCAGGAAAGAAAGTATGCTACTACCTAACTTTATGAGACTGACGTGCTACCTGAGCTAACGAGGCACCTACTACTACCTAACTTTAAGGAAAGAAAACATTAGTAGGTTTTACTAAGATTTCAACATTTATGAGTATAAAGGAAGATAGGTATGCATGCATATACACAGAATATCTCTGGAGAGTTACTCAGGAAGCTGGTAAGAGCTGTTGCCTTAAAAAGAAACATAGGACTAATGAATCATTGAACACTACATCAAAAACTGATGATGTACTATATGGTGGCTAACTGAACATTATAATAAACAAACAAATAAATAAAAAGGGACATAGGGAGTAGAAGTAAAAGGAAACATATTGCACTGTACACTTATTGGCATTGTTTAAACACAATAAAAATGTACACATTAGTTATTAGAAAATAAATACTTAATAAACAGGAAATTAAAGAAAATAAAGCTTACCGGGCTGGACAAGTGGCTTTGTAGAGCTGACAAGACCTGCTCTCCTGCTCACTGATTTTTTTTAACTGGAAACCTTTCCTCCTTGGCCCATACTGGCACTCCATTACCACGGCTCTACTCCCTGTGGGCCAAAACCAACTATTGATATTAATTCAAGTATCCATCTGTTCTGGACACTAGAATAAAAATAACTCAGTGGTGGCAATGTCCAAATTTATACTTTCAATTACACAACTTTAAGGAAAGAAAACATCAGTAAGTCTTACTAAGATGTATAAACACGTAAGTTTAAAAGATAATAATATTTATCAAAACTACATTATGGTTAAAGAAATTTACAAATACCACAGTTACTGAATGTTAACTGATATTTACATACATATGGTTTTTAATAATAAAATTTCACCACTCTATAAGTAGAAATTAGCAAAAGCTACATTTATTAGTAAATATTGTTATGTAAAGTTTTATATTCTTTTATAATTTTTCCTCATTTCTATTTGTACTGTTAGAATACAGTTGTCCCCCCTTATCCGCGGGGGATACGTTCCAAGACCCACAGTGAATGCCTGAAAGGATGGACAATACTAAACCCTATATAAACTGTTTTTTCCTATCTATATATACCTATAATAAAGTTTAATTAATAAACTAGGCACAGTAAGAGAGCAACTACAATAACTTATAAATAGAATAATTATAACAATATACTGTCATAAAAGCTATATGAATGGGGTCTCTCTCAAAATATCTTATTGTACTGTACTCACCCTTCTTCTTCTTGTGATGATGTGAGATGATAAAATGCCTATGTGATGAGATGAAATGAGGTGAATGACAAAGGCATTGTGACATAGCATTAGGCTACTATTCACCTTCTGACACTACGTCAGAAGGAGGATCATCTGCTTCTAGACTGTGGTTGAGAACAGGCAACTGAAACCTTGGAAAGTGAAACTGCGGATAAGGGGGGACTACAATAATGTAATAACCAGCCTCTGAGATGGCCCCCAATGATCCCTGCCTCCTAGTACTCACATTCTTGTTTAATTCCCTCCCCTTGAGCATGGGCTAGATTTATTAACTTACTTCTAATGAACATGGCTGAAGTGAGAAGATGTTATTTTTGATATAAGGTTACAAAAAGACTGTGACTTCCATCCTGGGTACTCTCTTGCTCTTGCTTGGATTGGTCTCTCTGGCCGAAATCAACTGTCTGCAGTGCGGCAGCTCTATGCAGAGGCCCATGTGGCAAGGAATAAGCCACAGGAGTGAGCTTGGAAGCAGATCCTCCCCCAGCCAAATGGTAAGATGACTACAGCTCCAGCCAACACCTTAACTGCAGTCTCATGACAGAAACTGAGGCAGAACCACCTTGTTAAGCTGCTCTTTGATTCCTGACTCACAGAAACCATGAGATACATGTTTGTTGTTTTCAGCCATCAAGTTTTGGGTAATTTGTTACATAGCAATAGAATATAAATAAGTGTATGTGAAACTATATAGTTTATGGCTTTAGGTAAAATATCCTATTCTAGGTAGAGTACAGCAAATTTTTCAAATATAAAATAAAAAAGATTCATAAGTAAAAGTGTTGATAAAGCTGACATTAAAATTTAAAACTTAAAAATTTTAAATATAAATTTTAGAATTTATATTAACTTAGAGATAATAATAGTAATAAAGAATTAATATGGAGAATGCAAAGAGCTACAAATAATTTTTAAAAATAAAGAACCAAGTGGCGCCTGGGTGGCTCAGTGGGTTAAAGCCTCTGCCTTCGGCTCAGGTCATGATCCCAGGATTTGGGGATCGAGCCCCACATTGGGCTCTCTGCTCAGCAGGGAGCCTGCTTCCCTCTCTCTCTCTCTCCTGCCTTTCTGCCTCTTGTGATCTCTCTCTCTGTCAAATAAACAAATAAAATCTTTTAAAAAATTTATTTAAAAAAATAATAATAAAGGACCAAACAGAAGAATGGGTAAAGACTATGAATAGGCAATTCAGAAAGGAAAAAAAGATATTAAATGAGCAAATAAAAAGATGTTCAACTTTACTAGTAAATATGGAAATGCAAATTCAAGCAATAGTAAAATACCATCTCACACTCTTCACATTGGCAAAAATAAAAAATCTGACAGTATTCTAAAATAACTGAATCCACTGATGAATTTTAACATCACAAAAAGGTGTTGCACATAGGCAGCAATAAGAAGTACAGAACACACCTATGACATATTCTTGCAAAATAATGGAGATTGAATCTTCATTTAATCAAGCCTCTAGATCTAACAGTCCACAGGAAATATAGGGGATTTTTAAAAAACATGTTGAACTACAGCACAGAGATGGAATCAACAAAACTCAGAATACAGAAAACTCTACAGGATAAACTACCTGGGGGAAAAGAGGAGAGAAATTTTTAGAAAAATTTCAAGAGATAAAACCAAATGTAAACTGTGAAATCTGTCTGGATGTGAATTTGAACAAACCTATGGAAAAAGAATTATTAGATAAGTAAAGAAATGTGAACATTGGACATTTTATGATATTAAGAAATTACTGTTAATTCTTTTATAATATGATAATGTGATTGTCATTGTATATCTGTACATATACAAAGATCCTTCTCTCTTAGAGATATATATTTTAGAATATAATATATACTTTGGTAATTACAGATAAAGCAACTGGGTATCTGGAATTTGCTATAAAATCATCTTGGAGGTGAGGAATGAAAAAGTGGGTAGGGATATAAATGAGTCTAGAAAGATCATATGCTAATAGTTGTTGAAGCTGGATGATGGATACAGGGAGAGTCATAGGATTCTACATATTATTACCTTCACTATGAGATACAGACATATATAGATATATACACACACATACTATTAGATATGTTACCTTTACTTTTAGATATGTATATATATCTATATCTATATATATATGAAAATTTCCAGAATATAAAGATTTTTAAAGTCTGACAATGCTGTGTCATAAGGTAAATGAAGGAAAGGGAAATTTTCATACATTGCTGAAACAAGTAACAATTGGTACAGGTTGCTAATTCCACACGTACAATTCTGAAACTGAAGAAGCTCAGAAAACAAAATTTTTTGGAACGCATTTAATTGCAAAACCTGACCTGAACTTTATGTGACTATTTATAATCTTTGTACCTCTTAGTGTTACTAAGCATAAAATATTACTATGTTCGATTATGTGATAGGGTCAACAGAATACTTGCTGTTGAGTATTCTGTAATATATTACATTCCAAAAATTCTGAAATACATGTGGCCAAAAATTTTAGAGAACAGATTTTGCACCTGTACGACCACTTTATTTTTTATTTATTTTTTTACTAGGTGGTCTTCCTTTAATTTAAATTCAACTAATTAATACAGTGTATTATTAGTTTCAGAGGTAGAGGTCAGTGATTGATCAGTCTTATATAGTACCCAGTGCTCATTATATCATGTGCCTTCTTTAATGTCTATCACCCAATTACCCCAATCCTTCACCCCTCTCCCCTTCAGCAACTCTCAGTTTGTTTCCTATGAATCAGAGTCTCTTATGGTTTGTCTCTCTCTCTGATTTTGTCTTGCTTTCTTTTCCCCCTCCCTTACCCTATGATCCTCTGTTTTGTTTCTTAAATTCCACATATGAGTGAGGTCATATGATAACTGTCTTTCTCTGACTTATTTCGCTTAGCGTAATATCCTCTAGTTTTATCCATGTTGTTGCAAATGCAAGATTTCTTTTTTGGGGGATGGCTCTTGTACAACCACTTTAGAGAGCAACTTGAGATAATCTTGTAAAAATGAAATGGGCATACTTCGCAACTCAGCATTTCCACTTTAATGCATGCACTATTAACTTATTTACATCTTTTCAAAAGAAAATGTATATTGTTTTACTATAGCATTCTTTGTAATATTGAAAATTTGAAACATCCTAAATGATCATTAGTAGAAAAATAATTGCGGTTTCGTCATATGCTGGAACGTTATGTACTCGTTAAATTAAGATCTGTAAGCATCAATATAGATGGATTTCAAGAAATAAGGGTGAGCAAAAATTTACATAACAATGTCTATAGTTTACCATTTATGAATATTTCAAAATATTCAAAACAATAAAATACATTATTGTAAATACAAATATGTGTGATAAAAGTATAAAAATATAGACCGGAAAGATACACACCAAATTTATGTAGTGGCTGCCTGTGGAGAGTTAGCATGGGGATTAGAACTAGGGAGGGGAAAAATGTTGTATTTCTTTTATAGAATACTGATGAAACCTGGGCAGAAAAGGTTACATGTACCTCATGTTCCTCCACATATCTTTTTTTACCCTCAGAGGTCTAAGATGAGACTGCAACTCTTCCAGCTAAATCAGTATTTCCCCAGTCCTAAAATAAATCACTTGTCGTCATGTTTTTTGGGATTTGACTAGCCTGAGGGTGAATCTCTGGAAACTGAAACCACTTTAGGGGCATCTGGCTGGCTCAGTCGGTGGAGCATGCAACTCTTATCTCTGGGTTGTGAGTTGAAGCCCCACACTGGGTGTAGAGATTACTTAAAATCTTAAAAACACACACACACACACATACACAAAACTCTAGCCCTTTAATACACACTAGCCCAATATTTGACTAGCATATGTAACACATTTGATGCTTGAGAATCCTAATATTACAATTCTGTATAATATAACTGCAGATTGCATTCAAATTCTACACAGTAACTTGAGAGTTATGAGCTATAAAATATAAAATGAATACGAATTTGTCCAACAAGACGAATCAAGGGAGATGAGAATATCTGGACTGGATAAAAAAAAATCCAACAGATATACATATTTAGAATAATAAAACTGCTCTATTAATATTTTTATTTTCTATGTATCAGCATAATATCTAAGGAAGTATTATTTATTTATTCTAATATATTAAAATAAAATTTCATTTAAAAATTGGTCATAGTTAAGTTTTCTTTTTAGTTTAACATGCATTTTCATCAATTAACATTCAGTTGTCATCCACAAAAATGACATTTTGGTAGGAAATTTTTAGGAAAACCCCATTTTTACAATGGATCATGGCAGTGCTGAACCTTTTAAAATAATTCCCTTAAAAAAGTACCTGCATTGACAAATGGAATTCCATCATATGGGACATACTGAGATTTCCACATCAAGCGTGTAGCCGGCTTGGCTGGGCTTGGAGATTGGCGGGTCCCCCAAACACTCTGTGTTTGCTGCTTATGAAATGTTAGAATACTTTCTAATTCGGTCTCACTTACACAGTAGCCACGGTATGAATCTCCAATTTTCTGCATGTGGTAGAAATTAAATAACAAAATTATTAGCAAATATGTTTCATTGTACAAAAAATTAAATGAAGTGGTTGTCCAAGATAAAAGACTCATCAGTTTTCAAAAGACTGTCATTGTCCTCTCAGATTAATGATCTATTACAACCAGTGTATCTGCTCTGCTTTTAACCAGCATTATCAAATAGATATTCTCCAAATATGTTAGAGAATATAATGTCAAACTCATATGACCACCATCAGTATCAAAATTTTGCTTGAGAGAAATAATATTTAGGGAGGATAGTTTAAAGAATACATTGTGTATCCATTCATCCATATATTTAAAATCCTACCTCTGGATCCAAAAAGATCGGCACAAAACTAGCCATAAAAGTAGTGGTTACCTATGGGGCTTCTTTCGCTAAAATTAATTTTGGTATGACATCAATTTTTTTGAAAGCTTATGAAAACTGTGATAGTATCTCTTAAATAATATAAAAGAATTTGCTCATTTTATCAAAATTCTTTTTAAGAAGATCCTTCCCTGAGAGAAAATTCTGTCTGAACTTAGTACCAAAAATAGTTAATGGTTTTATTTTATGGAAAATTACTTTTATCTAATGGACACAGAATTTATTTTTCTTTAATATTTATTTATTTGACAGAGAGAGAGATAGAGATCACAAGTAGGCGGAGAGGCAGGCAGAGAGAGACAGGGGAAGCAGGCTCCCTGCTGAGCAGAGAGCCTAATGCAGGGCTCAATCCCAGGACCCTGAGATAATGACCTGAGCCGAGGGCAGAGGCTTAACCCACTGAGCCCCCCAGCCACCCATGGACACAGAATTTAATAACTGGGTTTTCCCTTTTTGAAATGTAGATGCTTAAATTACAGAAAAGTGTGTGTGTATATGTGCGCACATATATATATGAATGTGTGCGTGCATACCCACAGTTCATTAAGATATACATTTCTTACTTCCATTTTATGGTTACATTCTTGTTTTTCTTTATTCTTTAGTTCCCATTTTAATTTCCCACCTTGCTACTATATTTTATGTATTTTGTAAGCTATCTTCATTCTTCCTGAAACAAGGAAGATGTAAATAAATTGTGTAAATAACTGATATTATCTCTCCACAAACATGTAAGTAAACTTCAACAAAAGTAGAAGCTTTTTCCATACCAATAGAGAAAAATCTATTAACTGTGATCTCCTGTACTAAAAGGCACATAGACCTACAACTGACTCCATGTATGTTTCTCCATTAAAGGGAACAAAACCAGAGATGTGGGACTAGGAATCTTTTTATTAGACTAAATATTTTACCCTGCAAGAATATATTTAATAAAAACACTGTTGTGGTTGTATTTTAGGTCATAATAAGAAGAGACAATCTGGGGGCGCCTGGGTGGCTCAGTGGGTTAAGCCTCTGCCTTTGGCTCAGGTCATGATCTCAGGGTCCTGGGATGGAGCCTGGCATCTGGCTCTCTGCTCAGCAGGGAGCCTGCTTCCCCCTGCCTCTCAGCCTACTTGTGATCTCTGTCGAATAAATAAATAAAATCTTTAAAAAAAGAAGAAGAGAGAATCTTATGTCAAGCAATACATTATCTCCAATTTCCCCTAAAAATAATAAAAATGCCTAGTCTTACAAATATTTTTCTAGCCCAGATATTTCTTCATCAAATATCAACTGCAAATAAAAGTAGGAACATAAAGTCTACCTATTAACATTTTTTAACAAATAAAATGAACAGAGTTTATAATGTTTTCAATGAAAAGAAAAATTCAGAATTAGTATAATATAACCAGGCCTCTATCAGGAGATGAAAGTTTAATATATATATATTTTTTTAGATTTTATTTATTTATTTGACAGAGAGAAAGTGAGAGATCACAAGCAGGCAGACAGAGAGAGGGGGAAGCAGGCTCCCCACCGAGCATAGAGCCCAATGGAGGGCTCAATCCCAGGACTCTGAGATCATGGCCTGAGCTGAAGTTCGCAGAAGCTTAACCCACTGAGCCACCCAGGTAACCCCAGGAGATAAAAGTTTAATACGGTTTTGAAATTTATCCAGCTAGTCCACTTTGGTCAAACCTAAAAAATGCATATGGAAAAACAATTTAAATGAAAAGTCAGAAAGTAAAAAGGATTATTAAACTATATCTATATCTATCTATCTATCTATCCATCTATATTTTTAAAGACTATTTATTTGAGAGAGAGAGAGCATGAGTGGAGGGTAGGGACAGAGGGAGAGGAATAGGGACAAGCAGACTCCCCACTGAGCAGAGAGCCCAACGCAGAGCTTGATCCTAGGACACCAAGATCACGACTTGAGCCAAAGTCAGACACTCAAAAGACTAAGCCACCCAGGTGCCACTATTAAACAATATTCTGAAGCAAAATGCAAAAAATATTTCCTCAGCCATTAATCAAAACTATTTTTCACTACTGATACAGCTTAGGAGAGAAGAAAGAATCCTTTACTGATAGAGATACTCATTCTGTTGGACAGTTTTGATGAATTTCTTACAAGATGTATGACATTAGGTAAGCCACACAATGCACATGGTTGTAAGACAAGCTGATTTGACTACATTAATTGCTAATGCTTTAATGTCTATAGCATTCTGTAAAGTTTACAATAATGATTTTTTAAAAATCCTCATCAGGGACGCCTGTGTGGCTCAGTCGGTTAAGCATGTGACCCTTGGTTTCAACTCTGGTCATAATCTCAGGGTCCTGGGATTGCCCCATGATGGCTCTGTGCTCCGCAGGGAGTCTGCTTGAGATGCTCTCTCTCTCCCTCTCCCCTTCACCCTGCTCATGATCTCTCTCTTTCTTTAAAATAATAAATCTTTAAAAAAAAAAAACCCTCATCGAACAACAATAATAGTTACTTTTGGAAACCAGTGAAAAACTATAATAACCAAAAAGTGTGAGGGGGTAAAAAAATCTGTCTACCTACCTGTACAAATAGATTTACATATAAATGACTTAGAAAAGCAACAATAGTAAAATTGTTGTACTCAATATAATATATCACATCATCAGACTTTATTATTAGAACATTATGAAATATTAAAATAGAAGTAATGTTTTTCCTCTCCATTGTGAAAATCTGATTAAAACAATGAAGCATTTTGGGGTGCCTGGGTGGCTCAGTGGGTTAAGCCTCTGCCTTCAGCTCAGGTCATGATCTCTGGGTCCTGGGATCAAGCCCCATATCGGGCTCTCTGCTCAGCAGGGAGCCTGCTTCCCGCTCTCCCTCCACCTGAATCTCTGCCAACTTGTGATCTCTCTTTCCCTCTCTTTCTGTCAAATAAATAAATAAAGAAATCTTAAAAAAAATAAAATAAAAAAATAAAAAATAAAACAATGAAGGATTTTAATAATTAGTCATTATCATGTACAGTTTACAGGTACAAAAGCACGGTCCCTTCTCTCAAAAGTGTATAGTCTAAATGCTATGTAATGATGAACAAATAATTAGGCAATTAATTAAGAATGGCAGTGATAATAAATACCAAAGCACTTAAAGAGATAAATAGGTAAAAGCTAAAATAATAATTCTTTACAGAAAAGATACACAGGAGTTGCATTAGGATTTAAGAATAGTTAGAAAGGAAACAGAAGAAAATAAAACAGATTAGGAAATGGCAACAAAAACAAGTCAAGGCAGAGATAAAGATTCTGAAGTGTTTGTACGAATTAGGAAGACAAGGCTTAACAAGAACGAAGGATGAGTTGGGAGAAAAGTAGAAAATAGGGGTGCCTGGGTGGCTCAGTGGGTTAAAGCCTCTGCCTTCAGCTCGGGTCATGATCCCAGGGTCCTGGGATCGAGCCCCGCATCGGGTTCTCTGCTCAGCAAGGGAGCCTACTTCCTCTGCTCTCTCTGCCTGCCTCTTTGCCTGCTTGTGATCTCTGTCTGTCAAATTAATAAATAAAATCTTAAAAAAAAAAAAGTAGAAAATAAAACAGGAAAAGATAATACCAAATTATGGAAGACCTTGAAAGCCATGTATAGTGGTGAATGATATGGAAAAAATGACACTGAACTTATTGGGCAGTGAGAAGAAATAATGAAAGCAATATTTAAAGACAGATATTTTTAGAAAACTAGACAGTAGGCCCCAGAAATAGAAGAATCAGAGATTAAAGTAAAGGTTGTTACTATAATTAAGTTCAAGATAACAAAAGTCTATGAAGAAGGAGGCCCCAATCACTCCACAAAAAGAGAGATATTTTATTTATTTATTTAAGAATGTCTTATTAGGTTCTTTTTAAATTAAATTAAATTTATTTATTTGTCAGGAGGTGGGGCACAATCAGAGGGAATAGGGGGCAGAGGGAGAAGTGGACTCCTAGCTCAGCAGGGAGCCAGATATGTGACTTGAACCCAGGACTCTGGGATCATGACTTGAGTCAAAGGCAGACGCTTAACTGACTGAGCCACCAGGCATCCCAAGAGAGATACTTTAAAGGAAAAACTAAAAGAATCAGATGACTACTTTAGTATGGGAAAGGAAGAATTTAATCTAAAACACTGCGCCTAGGGGTGCTTGGGTGGCTCAGGCCATGATCCCAGGATTGTAGGATTGAGCCCCACATTGGGCTCCCTTCTCAATGGGGAATCTGCTTCTCCCTCTTCCACTCCCCTGCTTGTGTTCTTTCTCTCTCTATCAAATAAATAAATAAAATCTTTAAAAAATAAAAATAAAATAAAACACTCTGCCTGAATGTCTAAGGAAAAGGTATTTGTCATTGAACAGACAAGGAATTTAGAAGTACAGCTAGTTGGGGCACCTGGGTGGCTCAGTAAGTTGGACTTCTCTGCCTTTGGCTCAGGTTGTGATCTCAGGGTCCTGGGATCAAGCCCTGCATCGGGCTCTTTGCTCAGCAGGGAGCCTGCTTCCCCCCACTCTCTCTACCTGCTGCTCTGCCTACTTGTGATTTCTTTCTCTGTCAAATAAATTTAAAAAAAAACCTTAATACATAAATGTTAAAAAAAAAACAAAAAAGAAGTACAGCTGGTTGTGACATAGTAATTTCTGTTTAGCACCTGGTGAACTGAGGTGAAATTCAAGTAAAGCTCCAATTAAGTAGCTGGAGATCTGGGGCAAGGGCACAATTAAAGAACCAGTGATACAGATTTGGAAATCATTTTTATAAAAGTGAGAGTTGAAAGTTAACAAAACTGATCAGCTCTCCAAGGGATAAAATGTAGAGAAATAAGGCAAAGTCAAACAGCAAAACTTAAAGTATTTTCATTGAGAATATGAAAAGAAATAAGTACAAGTAAAGAAAAAGTAATGGTCAAAAAATAAAAAGTAGAAAAACATGATAATGAAGTTTTCATGGAAGACATACAAGAGAAGAAATGATAGTGAAGCATGAAGTTTATATGATCTCTGCTTAAACAGAGCTTACACTAAGGAATAAAAGAATAGATGAGATCAGAGGTAGCATTAAAATAAAGTATTACAGATATAGTCAAAACTGAACATTTTGGGATGCATTATAGCAATAATCAATTTAGTGAATCTAGGTAAGGATTATTTTTAACTCACCTCACAGCTCCTAAGACGGCAGGCCCACATAGGTGTTTTAGAAGAAAGTGGCTGGAGAGGAGCCAGAAAGGGTTCTTCAAGCATTCTGGGACAAGGAAAGAATATACATAAGTATATATTACAAGTTACACACACACAAACACACATACGACATTCAACCATTTTATCCCCTTAGCCAGTGTTACAGAAAATATACTGAGGTCATCAATTAAGAAACTGTAATAATAGGGGTGTCTGGCTGGCACAAATGGTTCAAGCCCCAAGCTGGGTGTAGAATTAATTTGAAAAAATAAAGATATAAGATCTTAACTGCAATAATAACAATAGAGTTGGTGGGTGTACTTTAATTATAATTTTCTTTAAACAGCACTATTTTATTAGTTGCTAAAGAAACGGCCTATGTTTTTTCTTCCAAATATCTATAGCCCCAACAAAATTAAGTATTTTAATATCTCCTTCAGATCTTATTTTGTAGTCTTCTCATTTTATTTCATTATATAATTGTTTTTCATTTAACGAAAAAATGAGCCAATAAAACATCTTCAGGTGACTTGTTAAGTTAACATGATATTATGTCAAGCTCTAAGACTAAATGTAATAAGTAGTGTATAAATTTTTAAATGCTGTCTTTAAGAGTTAAAAGAATATAAATAATACAAAATCCATATTTACATTTGCCTAAATTATTATAGTGTTAAGGCAAAAATAAAAGCTGAAACATATTAACAAAAAACACTTGATTACTTTACCACAGAGGAATTAAATACATAAAAAGACGATGAACCATTAAACATTTTAGGAACTAGAGCGGATGTTTCTTTTTCTTTTTTTTTTTTTTAGAATGGATATTTCTTTATTCTAAAACCCCTATTAGTGCCAGATGTTTTCAGATTGCTTCAAAAGACAACAGGCAAGTGTCACTGAGGAAAAGTAGCACATTAGACATTATAGCTTTTTTTTTTTTTAATTTAAAGATTTTATTTATTTATTTATTTGACAGACAGATCACAAGTAGGCAGAGAGGCAGGCAGGGGAGGGGGTAAGCAGCAGGCTCCCGAGCAGAGAGCCTGATGCAGGGCTCGATCCCAGGACCCTGGGATCACGACCTGAGCAGATGGCAGAGTCTTTAACCCACTGAGCCACCCAGGCGCCCTAGACAGAGCTTCTAAAATAGTCTCCTAGCTGCCAAGATGTCATTTAAATAATTAAAGATATTTGACAATTTGATGATAGTTTATTCTGTTTCTTGAATTTCTAATCTTTTTTTAGTCAGCTCACTTTAGATATGATAATTTTAAAAAAGATTTCCATGATAATTTCAACATGAACTCCTCTTTCCCATGGACTCACCTGGCCACTGTCTTTTTGGGCAATGTGACAGCTGCTTGTGGATGAAGAGTATAATTACTGGTATTATCTGCTAGAACATCCACTCTTACAGTTGGTAAATTTCTATCACTGGACTTCTCTTCAGAGACATCTTAACAGCAATAACAACAACAACGCAATGTCAGTATCTTGAGTAAGCCCGTGAGAATGTAACTAAGTAGAACTCATCAATTTGAAATATGAAAGGCAAGATATGCTCTAAAGATGCCAAAACTTATGTTTTATTGAGAATTTCCCTAATAAACTTGTTTAGTTTCAAATTATAATACTAACTACTGAAATTTCGTAATTACATTTTTGAAGCTTATATTGAACAGCTAGGATATAAAAGTGGTACAATTGTTATGTTAACAGTTTCATAATATAATAGGAAAGTATAAAACTTTTTCATTTTTTAAAAAAAATTTTTAAAAATTCAACTAGCCAGCATATAATACATTGTTAGTTTCAGACTCTTTTTCATCTTTATACCATGTTTTTCATTTTGTCTGCAAACTGTTTTTTTCCTTAAGTTTTAACTATTAACAAAGGCGAAGAACCATATCACTAAGGTAAAAATATCTATTCTAAATCATTAGTTATGGACGAACAATGAAACAGTGTAGCTATGGTATTAGATAGAAAAGGAAGGAAAGCAAAAGAGAACTAACAGGAATATTATCAATAGGTTAAGAAAGAGTAAAAAAAAAATGGGGAGCACGATTCTCCTTTCTGAGTCTGAAGGAAAAAAAGAGCAAAGAAGATGAAAAAAATAGTTAAATAAAAGCGTAATGAGTCACATGGCTAACAATAATATTGATAAAAATGCAAATGTAATAATTTCTCCAGTAACTATTAACACTATAATCTTGTTATTGTAGCTGTTATTACTACTGTTATTATAATTAAGAAGAATTTATTTTATGCTCACTGGTCATTTGGGAGGAAGCAAGAGTCAACCAGCTTCACAGAATTCCAAAATGAAATAGACAGCTAACCTAGACAGGAGTTGAAAAATGAACTTGAAATTTATTTGGGCTAAGAATCTTTTTCTAATTATTAAGTTCACAACCTTACCCACCAAGAGATCGATTTTAGCACAGACTTTCATGAGGTGATTTTCTGATACATGTATTTGTTCTTCAAAACATTCTTAAATCCCATATATCCCATGATTACTCACCCTGAGGACTATTCACATCCACAAGCTGCCCCTGAGGTACAATCACTTGTGCCATTCCTGTCTGTGTAGATGGAATTACACGCAGCACCTGTCCATTTTCTGAGGGGTTGGCAACAATCATCTTGAACATTAAGAAAGAAACCAAATGCATAAGCCAACAATGCTTTAACAGAATTATTACTAAATAAATGATTAAAGATATGCCTATCTGTATGGTAGATACTATTATTTCCCTCATTTTGTAGATGAAAACACTGAAGTACTGTTTCGGAGCTGATAAGTGTTAAAGCTGGGATTCAAAACAGGTAGTTTGAATCTATGTCTATGATCTTAACCACCTACGGTCTTAATCATTACACATGTATGAGGTCTAATTACTTAGTAATGTGAACAAGGATCTCACTGGACTTATTGTATTTGCTTTTTTCTACTTACTGTTTTATATATCCCTATGTGTTTGGATTATTTGTATGGTAGTCATTTCTTCTGTATTTTATGTCACTTTCATTTGTTTAAATACTGTATCTTGTTAGATGTCTAATTAAACAGAATTTATTTTTATATCTCTGAATTTTTATATATTCTGTCTTGGTCCATAAGGAATACCAAAGAACGCCCCAAAAGTCTGAAAATATAAGAAAAATTATATGTTTATTATTTCCATTTCTTCCTTCAGTTTAACAATTGAATCTGTTATCCTAAATTTAGAGAACTGTCAACTAAAAGGGTGTCTGAAGCTGAAAAAAAAAAACATTTTGAGCCCATCATTTGAAAAACAAAATATTTTTTTTAATTTATTTTTTCTCAGTGTTCAAAAATTCATTGATAATGTACCACACCCAGTGCTCCATGCAATACGTGTCCTCCACTTGAAGACAAGTTTATCTTAAATTTCCAGACTTTTCGGACACCCTGTAAACTTTATTACCTAACATACTACTCTTCTATTGACACAGTGTTACTGTTTTACCCAAGGTCTACTAGACTCAGTTCTTACTCAAGTAATTCTTTGTAATCATTCCAACCTGCTTTCCAAGAGGGCCTTTTTTTAATTAAATTTTTAAAGTTAACATATATTATTTGCCCCAGGGGTACCGGTCTGTGAATCATCAGGCTTACACACTTCACAGCTCTGACCATAGCGCATACCCTCCCCAATGTCCATAACCCAAACACCCTCTCCATACTCCCTCCCCCAAGCAACCCTCAGTTTGTTTTGTGACATTAAGAGTCTCTTATGGTTTGTCTCCCTCCCGATCCCAGCTTGTTTCATTTTTTCCTCCCCTACCCCCCAAACCCCCCACTTTGCCTCTCAAATTCCTCATATCAGGGAGATCATATAATTGTCTTTCTCTGATTGACTTATTTTGCTCAGCATAATAACCTCTAGCTCCATTCATGTCGTTGCAAATGGCAAGATGTCATTTCTTTTGATGGCTGCATAGTATTCCATTGTGTGTGTGTGTGTGTGTGTGTGTGTGTGTATCTATATATATCTATATATATATATAACATTTTCTTTATCCATTCATCTGTTGATGGACATCTAGGTTCTTTCCATAGTTTGGCGATTGTGGACATTGCTGTTAAACATTTGGGTGCACGTGCCCCTTCGGATCACTACATTTGTATCTTCAGGGTAAGTACCCAGTAGTGCGATTGCTGGGTCGTAGGGTAGCTCTATTTTCAACTTTTTGAGGAACCTCCATGCTGTTTTCCAGAGTGGCTGCACCAGCTTGCATTCCCACCAAAAGGGTAGGAGGGCTCCCCTATCTCTGCATCCTCACCAGCATCTGTTGTTTTTTGTTAATTTTAGCCATTCTGACTGGTTTGAGGTGGTATCTCATTGTGGTTTTGATTTGTATTTCCCTGATGCCAAGTCATGTGGAGCACTTTTTCATGTGTCTGTTGGCCATTTGGATGTCTTCTTTGCAGAAGTGTCTGTTCATGTCCTCTGCCCATTGCTTGACTGGATTATTTATTCTTTGGGTGTTGAGTTCGATAAGTTCTTTATAGATTTTGGATACTAGCCCTTTATCTGATATGTTGTTTGCGAATATCTTCTCCCATTCTGTCAGTTGTCTTTTGGTTTTGTTGACTGTTTCCTTTGCTGTGCAAAAGCCTTTGATCTTGATGAAGTCCCAATAGTTAATTTTTGCCCTTGCTTCCCTTGCCTTTGGCGATGTTTCTAGGAAGAAGTTGCTGTGGCTGAGGTCAAAGAGGTTGCTGCCTGTGTTCTCTTTAAGGATTTTGATGGATTCCTTTCTCACACTGAGGGCTTTCATCCATTTGGGGTCTTATTTTCATGTGTGGTGTAAGGAAATGCATTTTTCTACATGTGGCTCTCCAACTTTCCCAACACCACCTGTTGAAGAGACGGTCTTTTTTCCATTGGACATTCTTTCCTGCTTTGTCAAAGATTAGTAAACCATAGAGTTGAGGGTCTATTTCTGGGCTCTCTATTATGTTCCATTGATCTATGTGTCTGTTTTTGTGCCAGTACCAGACTGTCTTGATGATGATAGCTTTGTAATAGAGCTTGAAGTCTGGAATTTTGATGCCACCAACTTTAGCTTTATTTTTCAACATTACTCTAGCTATTGGAGGTCTTTTCTGGTTCCATATAAACTTTAGGATTATTTGTTCCATTTCTTTGAAAAAAAAATGGATGGTATTTTGATAGGGATTGCATTATATGTGTAGATTGCATTAGGTAGCATAGACATTTGCACAATATTTGTTCTTCCAATCCAGGAGCATGGAATATTTTTCCATTTCTTTGTGTCTTCCTCAATTTCCTTCATGAGTACTTTATAGTTTTCTGAGTACAGATTCTTTGCCTCTTTGGTTAGGTTTATTCCTAGGTATCTTACGGTTTTGGGTGCAACTGTAAATGGGATGGACTCCTTCATTTCTCTTTCTTTTGTCTTGTTGTTGGTGTATAGAAATGCAACTGACTTCTGTGCATTGATTTTATATCCTGACACTTTACTGAATTCTTATACAAGTGCTAACAGATTTGGAGTGGAGTCTTTTGGGTTTTCCACATATAGTATCATATCATCTGCAAAGAGTGATAGTTTGACTTCTTCTTTGCCAATTTGGATGCCTTTAATTTCTTTTTGTTGTCTGATTGCTGAGGGTAGGATTCCTAGTACTATGCTGAATAGCAGTGGTGATAGCAGACATCCCTGCCGTGTTCTTGACCTTAGCAGAAAAGCTCTCAGTTTTTCTCCATTGAGGATGATATTCATGGTGGGTTTTTCATAGATGGCTTTGAAGGTATTGAGGTATGTACACTCTATCCCTATACTTTGAAGAGCTTTGATCTAGAAAGGATGCTGTACTTTGTCAAATGCTTTTTCTGCATCTATTGAGAATATCATATGGTTCTTGTTCTTTCTTTTATTAATGTATTGTAGCACATTGACTGATTTGTGGGTGTTGCACCAACCTTGCAGCCCTGGAATAAGTCCCACTTGGTCGTGGTGAATAATCCTTTTAATGTACTATTGGATCCTACTGGCCAGTATTTTGGTGAGAATTTTCGCATCTGTATTCATCTAGGATATTGGTCTGTAATTCTCTTTTCCTTTTTTTTTTTTTTTTTAAGATTTTATTTATTTATTTGACAGACAGAGATCACAGTAGGCAGAGAGAAAGGAAGGGAAGCAGGCTCCCTGCTGAGCAGAGAGCCTGATGCGGGGCTCGATCCCAGGACCCTGGGATCATGACCCGAGCCAAAGGCAGAGGCTTTAACCCACTGAGCCACCCAGGCGCCTCTGTAATTCTCTTTTTTGATGGGGTCTTTGTCTGGTTTGGGGATCAAGGTAATGTGGCCTCATAAAATCAGTTTGGAAGTTTTCCTTCCACTTCTATTTTTTGGAACAGTTTCAGGAGAATAGGTATTATTCTTCTTCAAATGTTTAGTAGAATTCCCCTGGGAAACCATTTGGTCCTGGGCTCTTGTTTGTTGGGAGATATTTGATGACTGCTTCAATCTCCTTACTGATTATGGGTCTGTTTCTTCCTGGTTCAGTTTTGGTAGTTTATATATCTCTATGAATGCAGCCATTTCTTCCAGATTGTCAGACCTGCTGGCGTATAGTTGCTCATAATAAGTTCTTATAATTGTTTGTATTTCTTTGGTGTTGGTTGTAATATCTCCTCTTTCATTCATGATTTTTAAAATTTGGGTCCTTTCTCTTTTCTTTTTGATAAGTTTGGCCAGGGGTTTAACAATCTCATTAATTCTTTCAAAGAACCAGCTCCTAGTTTCGTTGATTGTTCTCCCGTTCTTTTGATTTCTATTTCACTGATTTCTGCTCTGATCTTTATTATTTCTCTTCTCCTGCTGGGTTTAGGCTTTCTTTGCTGTTCTTTCCCCAGCTTCTTTGGGTGTAGGGTTAGGTTGTGCACCTGAGACCTTTCTTGTTTCTTGAGAAAGATTTGTATGGCTATATACTTTCTTCTCAGGACCGCTTTTGCTGTGTCCCACAGATTTTGAACAGCTGTGTTTTCATTATCATTTGTTTCCATAAATTTTTTCAAATTTTCTTTAATTTCCTGGTTGACCCATTCATTCTTTAGAAGGATGCTCTTTAGTCTCCATGTATTTGCGTTCTTTCCAACTTTCCTCTTGTGATTGAGTTCCAGCTTCAGAGTGTTGTGGTCTGAGAATATGCAGGGAATGATCCCAGTCTTTTGGTACCAGTTGAGACCTGATCTGTGACCCAGGATGTGATCTATTCTGGAGAATGTTCCATGAGCACCAGAAAAGAATGTGTATTGTTGCTTTGGGATGGAATGTTCTGAATATATCTGTGATGTCCATCAGGTCCAGTGTGTCATTTAAGGCCTTTATTCCCTTGTTGATCTATTGCTTGGATGATCTGTCCATTTCAGTGAGGGGGGCCGTTAAAGTCCCCTACTATTATTGTATTATTGTCAATGTGTTTCTTTGATTTTGTTATTAATTGGTTTATATAGTTGGCTGCTCCCATGTTAGGGGAATAGATATTTAAAATTGTTAGATCTTCTTGTTGGACAGACCCTTTGAGTATGATTTAGCGGATTCAGTTATTTTGAGTATGATACCATTGTATGTTACAGACTTCTTGCCCCGAGCTGCTTTCAGGAGTTTCTCTTTGTCACTAAGACTTGTAAGTGTTACTATTAGATGACGGGGTATGGACCCATTCTTATTGATTTTGAGGGGGAGTTCTCTGTGCCTCCTGGATATTGATGTTTGCTCCCTTTGCCATATTAGGGAAATTCTCTGTTATAATTCACTCCAATATATCTTCTGGCCCCTTTTTCTTTCTTCTTCTTCTGGAATCCCAATTCTTCTAATATTGTTTCATCTTATGGTATCACTTATCTCTCAAATTCTCCCCTCATGGTCCAGTAGTTGTTTGTCTCTCTTTTGCTCAGCTTCTTTATTCTCTGTCATTTGGTCTTCTGTATCACTAATTTTCTCTTCTGCCTCATTTATCTTAGCAGTAAGAGCCTCCAATTTTTTTACTGCACCTCATTAATAGCTTTTTTGATCTCAGCTTGGTTAGATTTTAATTCTTTTATTTCTCCAGAAAGGGCTTTTGTTTCTCCAGAGAGGGTTTCTCTAATATCTTCCATGCCTGTTTTGTGCCCAGCTAACACCTTGAGAATCATCATTCTGAGCTCTAGATCTGACATTTTACCAATGTCCGTACTGATTAGGTCCCTAGCCTTTGGTACTGCCTCTTGTTCTTTTTTTTTGTGGTGAGTTTTTCCCACCTTTTCATTTTACCCAGAGAAGAATATATGAAGGAGAGAATAAAATACTAAAAGGGTGGCAAAGACCCCAGAAAAATGTACGCTAACCAAATCAGAAGAGACCCTAAATAGGGGGAGAAGAAAAGGGGTAAAAAGAAATTTAAAAAAAAATTAAAAAAAAAATATATAGTAGACTGGTGAATAGAACAGAGCCACCCACTTGATTTTGGGTGTATTTTGGTTTCTTAAAAGAAACTACCTCCCAAAATTTTTAAAGAAAGAAAAACATATATATACACCAAAATAAGAACAAACATGAGAAGGAATGGAATATGACTGTAAAGATGAAAATAAAAAAAGAATTCTAAAGAAGGCATTGCTAAGATAAGTTGGTTGGAAAAAGAAAGAGGAGAGAATTAGCTCAGGCTGGAGACCATATCAAAGCCCTATCCTAGATTTAGGGTATATTTTGATCTATTGGAAGAAACTGTATCCCAAAATTTTTGTATAAGAAAAAACCCTTTATGTATACAAAAAATAAAGTTAGATACTATGAAGGATAAAATATGACTATAATAATGAAGGTTTAAAAAGTTTTTTTTAAAGAAAGTATTGTTAAGATAAACTAATTAAAAAAACTTAAGAGGAAAGAGGAGACGTTAAATAAAATTAGAATAAGAAAAAAATAAAATAAATTTAATTAACTTTGCAAGACTAAAGAATCATGAGGTGAAAGCCATGAATTCCATGCTCTGCTTTCTCCTCCTCTGGAATTCCACTGTCCTCCTGGATCAGTGACCTTGGTCTTGGGTGAATGTTCTTGCTGATCTTCTGGGTTGATTCTCAAACGTTTTTGCCCGAGGCAGAATTGCACTGCCCTTGCCAGGGGCCAGGCTAAGTAATCTACTCCCGTTTGCTCTCAGGAGCTCTTTTGTTCCCTGAACACTTTCTGTAGAGCCCTGGAGGACGGGAATGAAAATGGCAGCCTCCCAATCTCCGGCCTGGAGGTAAGACAGCCTTTCTGTTTTATAAAACATGGAAACATAACTGATTCGTGACAGAGACTGCAGTTCTAGTTTTAAGAGGGTCATTGGAAAAAATTTTTAATTGAAAAAAAATTAAATTTGAAAAAAATTTCAATGAAGTAGATACTTTAGGGACAATTAACTGTAAACATTTCTCAGAAATTAAGACTAGTAATTGTTTCCCTCCCCCAAAGTTTATCAAGTTTCTTGAGATAAAAATACCTTGCCATACCTCTTATCACTTCATCATGAAAAAGTAACTGTAAACTCTGATGACAATAATTGCTTGACATTTGTTGAATGCATACTAAATGGCAAGACTTTACATGCATTACTGTATGTATTCCCTATCATATGTAAATGAAGTATATACATTTTATACTTGAGGATACTGTCATAAGAGGTTACACAACTCATGCAAGATAGGGTGGTGAGTTGAAATTCAAACCCAAATTCAAACAACTATTCTGTACTGCTTCCCATTATCTGACGATTTTACTTAACCTAAAAGAAGACAAAAACAATACAAGAAATACTGCTGGGCTTTAAAAGGCAACAGTAATAACAGTTTTTAAATTCCTTTCTCCTTAAATAAGATCAAATACTTGTAAAAAAATATTCCATTCATTCTTAGAAAATGAATCCACTAAATCCAAATAAAACACATATATTTATAATTTATTTACTCATATGAAAATTTCATAATTAAGAAAGATGTGTGGAATACCTCTTACTTTTGGAAATATGTTTCCTATGTAGAGTGGAGGAGAGCCTCCTCCACTTTCTCCTTCCTTAGCTTTCTCCTTCCATAGCTTCCTTCTACCTGGTACCTAGAAAACTATTTCCAGTTCATGTAATTTGATAATGGTGACAATAATATTACTTTTCCTATTTTAAAATAAAGTTACTTTTAATCTTTGCTATGATATCAGAGTTTTGAAAAGTCATCTGTTGCAATGCATTCTATTTGAGGCAGACCATGAACATTATCAGAAAATCTTGACTAATAAGTAGTCATATTTACTGGGCTCTTTGTGTACTGTACAATATATCTCATAAGTCCAAATTACCATCCCTGCTTCACTTTAAAACCTCTTCATTTGTTGCAGATTCACCCACTACAGAATCTTTACTACTTCCTTGATAACTTCTGTATCAAAAAATCACATTAAAAAATTTAAAAAAAAAAAAGCTCCATATGGTGGGAGATCTTGAAAATGGGAAAGACCATGCATGTATAGGGGCAGGGGGTTTTTTAAGCATCACTGTACTTCTACTCACTTTTGTTTTGACTCTATAATTGCTCTTGGGGTACCTGGGTGGCTCAGAGGTTAAAGCCTCTGCCTTCGGCTCAGGTCATGATCCCAGGGTCCTAGGATCTAGTCCTGCATCAGACTCTCTGCTCAGCAGGGAGCCTGCTTCCTCCTCTCTCTCTTCCTTCCTCTCTGCCTGCTTGTGCTCTCTCTCTCTGACAAATAAATAAATAAAATCTTTATAAATGACTAATAAAATGAATACACATCTTATAAGACTGTTCAAGAAAAAATAGAGGAGGTACAACAAGTAGTGTCAGGAAGAAAAAGGGGGCATCATCCTACTGATTCTATAGATTTAAAATATTTACAAGCTTTGTTCTATACTTGATATATAATAGCTTCAGAATAACAATACTAAAATTATTATTAATATTAAATTCATTGAAAGTTTATACATTTTGTTTCTAGATTATATCCTGTTAGAGATGTACAATCAGATTACTGTCTTTGAAATAATTCACTAAGGTGCTTGGGTGGCTCAGTTGGTTAAGTGTCTGCCTTTAGCTCAGGTCCTTGGATCAAATACCCCAACAGGCTCAGCAGGGAGCCTGCTTCCTCCTCTCTCTCTGCCTGCCTCTCTGCCTACTTGTGATCTGTCAAATAAATAAAATCTTTAAAAAAATAATAATAAATAATTCCATTATGTAATTAATACCCATTGTAGAAAATTTGGAAAACAGGTAAACAAGACACATGTTATTCTTATTATTAATGTAAAGATCTTTTTTTTTAATGTAAGAATATTCTTAGTAGTTAGAGAGAAACGAAGTTTTTCTCAATAATTCTCTTTAATTTCCAACAGAACCATCTTTCATTTCTTCTATTCAAACTATAAACTTGGCCATGAATACTTCAGAAACAATTTAAAGCAGCATTTTCACCTTTATATGCACTGTTACTTACATGACACATACGTATCTACATCAGCGAGGCTATGTCTAATTGCCAGTATACCACTGCTATTTCCATTGTTTTCTTTTGCTTCAAGAAGGCATACCAACCTGTGGCATGCAAGTTAGTGACCGAGAGACGGGTAAAGCAATAACCTTGAGTTCAGCCAAATGCATACACAAAAATAAATGTAAGTTACAGGTAAACTCTGGCACTTGTCACAGATTATGATACATTTCCAACTGATCTCAAAGTAACAGTGTACCTAGACCTAGTAACTGGGAAGTAGTTTAACATTCTATTAGTAGTCCTAAAATGAAATCTTTTAAAATATTCAGGTAACATAAAAATGAACGTCATGAAAACGGTATTTTCAAAGCAACGCAAGTCAACAGTTTCAAGAAATTAAGGTCACCTAGTAAGATTAATACATTTTGCTAAATAGCATAAAACTGATTATTTATAAAATACACTCACCATTTGTGCATTAGAATCCCCCAATGACTGGAGTTCATATTGAATAGGCTGCTTATTTTGGTCCACTAGATGGAATTGTTCTGCAGAAAGAGTCTGTGTCTGAGTCAGGGCCCCTGGTATATTCTGTGATGTGAGTGAATTATCTGCTTCATGAGAGATGATGGGTAAAACTCTAGTAGGAGAACCATTCTGTCCAAAGGAAGGATCCCTGGAGTCCATGCAGGTTAGATGCTTTTGTAAGGAAAAAAAAAAAAAAAAAAAAGCACTAAGGGTGTTTGTAAAATATAATGTCACAATATGTATCTTTTAAATTAAAAAAAAAAATTTTTTTTAAGGTATTAAGTAATCTCTACACCCGACATGGGACTCAAACTCACAAGAGTAGCAGGCTCTATCGACTGTACCAGCCCAGTGCCCGTAATGTTACAATAAAAACAAACAAACAAACAAACAAAGAATGTTTACTAGCCACTGTGAAAACAGTATGGAGGTTCCTCAAAAAATTAAAAATATAACTACCACATTACTGGGTATTTATCCAAAAATACAAAAACATTAATTCAAAGGGATACATGAACCCGTATGTTTATACAGCAGCATTATTTACAATAACCAAATTATGGAAACAGCCTAAGTATCCAATGATTGATGAATGGATGTGGTATGAATTGATGAAGACGTGGTATAAGACACAATGGAATATTATTCAGCCATAAAAAAGAAGAATGACATCTTGCCATTTGCAACAACATGGATGGAGCTAGAGAATATAATGCTAAGTGAAGTCAGTCAAAGAAAGAGAAATACCATATGATTTCACTCATATATGGAATTTAAGAAACAAACAAATGAGGAAAGGGAAAAAGAGAAAGAGAGAAATCAAGAAACAGACTATTAATAAAAGAGAACATACTGATGATTACTAGAGCAGGGGATGGGGAGATGGGGTGGACAGGTTAAATAGGAGATGGGGCTTAAGAAATGCACTTGTTTTGGGGGATTTTTTGTTTTTTTGTTTTTACAATTTTTTTTGTTTTTGTTTTTGTTTTTATACTTTGTTAAAGTAGGTTCCATGGCCAATGCAGGGCCCAAACTAACAACCCTGAGATCAAGACCTGAGCTGAGATGAACAGTCAGATGCCCAACCTTAGACTGAGCCACCTAGGCACCCAGGAGTGCACTTGTGATGAGCACCTGGTGATCTATAAAACAGTTGAATCAATATATTATATACCTGAAACTAATATAATATGTTAATTATCTGGAATTTAAAGTAAAATAAATAGAAAGCTATAATAAAAATGGAAAGATTAATTTTTCAGTTAATTATTCACTTCATTTTTTACAAGAGTTGCCAATTCACACAGACTGATATAGACAGAAAGCTGTTCTAAACTGAAATTGTTGATTTTTATATTTTATTTCAATCGTATTGAAATAAAGTTGTCCATGGGAACACATCCTGAAATCATGCTATATAATTCAAAACACAGATTTTTCTTTATATATAGATTTTGAAGAACATAGAATTTTTATAATAGAGCTTTTAAGTAAAAGCTTTACTTTTGGTGCACCTGGGTGACTCAGTGGGTTAAGCATCTGCCTTCAGCTCAGGTCATAATCTCAGGGTCCTGAGATCAAGCCCCACATCGGGCTCTCTGCTCAGCAGGGAGTCTGCTTTCCTCTCTCTCTGCCAACTTGTGATCTCTGTCAAATTAAAAAAAAAAAAAAAAAGCTTTCCTTTAAGTAAAGCTCTATATTATAAAGTTAAGTGTATGATAGAATTGTGGATAAATTGTAACATTCTTGAATAAAATTAAATATAATACTATTTCTTATACATTAAAAAGTTATTAAATGGGGGCACCTAGGTGGCTCAGTTGGTTAAGCATCTGCCTTTGGATCAGATCATGATCCTAGGATCCTGGGATCAAGCCCTACATAGGGCTCCCTGTTCAGCAGGGAGCCTGCTTCTCTCTCTCCCTCTGCCTGCCACTTTCCGTGCTTGCGTTATCTATCAAATAAATAAATAAAATCTTAAAAAAATATAGTAGTTGTTAAATGGAATGGAAAAAAGCTCCCAAAAGTTAAATTCCTACCTCATATACTTGAGAATCTGTTTTTGATTCTTCAGAATCATTATGGTTCACTCTTAGGGAATCGTTAGATTGTTCCATGCTGGTATATTCAATTCCATTTTCTTCTATTAGTTAATAGCTGAAAAAAATGTAAGTATCTGAGTAAAGCACTTAACATTTTTATGGAATGTTTGTCTTAAACAAATCTCACATTTCTCCTACTGTGTTAACCCATCTATTCAGGTTAAATAATTTCCATTCTATAGATTAAGAAAATTCTATAGGTTAATAAAATAAACATTTTTGTTAAATGATTTGCCAAGGCACCAGAATACATTCAGGCCAAAACAAAGATTACCATTATGTAGTTTCCTCATCTTACCCTTCATTAAACTCATGTATTGGTTAATTAAGATTGTTGTTACGGGACAGTACTTTTTACCCTTTCAAATACTTCGAAAATTCTCATTTTGTAAAGATTTAATGCAAATAAAGGTTCTTAATTTTATGAGTTGAGCACATACTATTGTAGCATTAGGTAATTTTAGAAAAGATGTTTTGGCATAGACAGATTATATACAAACAGATCTTACCATAATGCACATCATACCACTAATACTGGGTTGACAAACTTTGAAAATGAATAAATATGTATTCCAGAAGTCTGAGCCACTTTGGCTTGGTACAGTGGTTAGCTCTAGTGGTGACCTGGCTTTACACACACACCCATACACACACAGACACAGACACACACACACACCGCCCCCTTGGGATATTTGGCAATGTTTGGAAATATTTTTGGTTGTCAAAAATGAGAGAAGAGTGCTACTAGAATCTAATGGAGAGAAGCTAGGGGTACTACTAAATATTTTGGAATGCTCACGGCAGCCTCCAAAACAAAGATATCAATGGTGCTGAGGTTCTGAAACCTTGGCCTGCTAAAATATAATAAATACTAGATTCTGGATTATCTGAAAGTAATGATGCTTTAAATCTCAAAACTGGAGTAAGGTCAAAACAAAGCTGGTGAAGAATAACACTGGAAAATTTATAATATAAAATAAACTTCATAAAATCTTTTTAAGAACCCACACACTTAATTTTATTTTTAATAAAACAGCACAGTCTTCTTAAAAATCCTGAAAGTTTTATTTTTAAATTAACAGGCATTAAATTGAACTTCCTTTTTTGTTTTTGCTATGTAGTTCCGTGGATTTTAACACATGTAACCACATCACACCACAATAAAGTCACCCTATGCTATAATTTAAATTTATACCTTGTACTTAAGACTTAGTTGGTATATATATTTGAACACATGAAAACATTTTTCTTTGATAGCATCCACACATACATTTGTAAAATTAACCATTTCAGAAAATCTACAAGGTGTGCCATTTCATATTTCCAAAATATTATAAATATTTCTATTCAAATATAAATTGTAATAGGTTAAAAATCAGTCTTATTTTTAATATATAACTTTAAAATATCTTAAAGTTGTTTTTCTTTTAAGATTTTAAATTACCGCTTGTATTCTAATTCATTACAAAAATCCCAAAAACCTATAGGTCCCTCTCAGGTTAAGGGCAATTTTATTTTATAATGTTCTGGTTCTGTTCCATTTTGAATTTTTTACATATATAAAACTTAGGAATAATATGTTTTATATATAGTTTAAAAAAATAAAAAGAAAGTTCCACTAATGGCAATATGGTAGATGATATAATATAGAAGGCTCTCTTGCTAGAAAACGAAAAAAAGAAAGTGGGTCTAAAAATACTTTATGACCAGGAGCTGTTACAGGATGTAACAAAAATCAAAGGCCACTCCGTGCTGTCTATGTCCCCTCCCCCACCAAAAAAAAAAAAAAAAGAAAAGAAAAAAGAAAAGCAAAAGCTGTGAGCCAAAACCCAAGTGAAAAGCACAAGCAAAGAGGAAAATTTCTGCAACAGCAGTACTAATACCCAAGTTTTATGGCTGGGAGGTGGGGTGTGGATAAGTAGCTCTTAGGGGAGAGGAAATTAAAATTCCCAAGATAAGACTAGGAACGTGAAAGATCTTGAGACAATAGTTTAGCCCAGCTTCTGGTAAGACCAAGCGGAGCTATTATTTGGAGGAACCCAAACCCAATTAAGGCATTAGTTTCCTTTCATATCAAGATTCAATATAAGCTTATAATTAGAGTGCCAAAAACACAGGAAATAAACCTTCAAAAGAAAGAGTCAGCAAAGTCAGACACCTCCTTAAACTTCAAATATTGGAACCATCTAACAGTGAATATAAAATAACTATTTTAAACTCAAATAAATAAACTGAATGAATAACAGGAATAAGCAAGCAAGAAGACTGAAAAGTTTAATCCGAAAGAGATCCAAACAGAACTTTCAGAAATTAAAAAAAAAAAAAAAGTAAGTCAATGGATTGATTAAATAGAATAAATTTGGAAGAAAGAACTATTAAATTAGAAGCCATATTTTTAAAAATTACCCAGAATTCATCACAGGAAAAACAGAAGATAAAAAACATGAAGAGACTTAAAACTTAAACAAAATAGAGTAAGTATAACATACTTATAATTAGAATCTCAGAAGAATAGAAAAGAAATAGAAAAAACGGCTGACAGACAATACTTGAGGAGAAAGTAGCTAACAATTTTTCAACACTGAATCCACGGATAAAGTACAAAATGTACCAAAATTAATCAAAAGAAATCTATACCCAATGTAGTAGAAGTACAAAAATTCTAAAAAGAAAGGAAAATCTAAAAGTGAAGCAAGAGAGATAAGATCACCCATGGGGTACTGACATTAGATACACAGCAGACTACTCAATAGCAACACTGGCAGAAGTCATGTTAAAAAAAAGAAAATTAATTCTCAGCATATGATTATATAAGCTCAAAACGATTTCTTTCACAAAGCAGGGTGAGAGAAAGATATTTTAAGATTTTAAAAAACTGAGGGGTGCCTGGGTGGCTCAGTCAGTTAAGTGTCTGCCTTCAGTTCAGGTCATGATCCCAGTGGGATCGAGCCCCACATCGGGCTCCCTGCTTAGCAAGGAGCATGCTTCTCTCTCTTCCTCTGCTGCTCTCCCTGCTTGTGCACGCTCTTTCTCTCTCTCAAATAAATAAATAAAATCTTTAAAAAGAAAAGGTTTTTAAAAAAACTGAAAGTTTACAATGAATAGATCCTACATGAAAGAAATTTCTAAAGAATGCAGAGAATAAAAATGGTACCAGAGGGAAATCCTGAGATGCCAGAAAAATGGTAAGCTAGTAAATTAATAACTCTAAGAAAAATCCAAATAAACACTATCTATATAAATAACAATAATGCTATTATAATTTTTATATGTGTGTTTTAATAATAGAAATAAAATACTGAAGAACTAAATAAAATACACATAACTCAGGAGGGGGTGATGACAGATAAACACAGTGTATCAAAACGTATGGGATGAAGGGAAAGCAATGCTCAGAGGGAAATCTAGAGCAAATATGCCTATATTTAAAAAAAAAAAAAAGAAAAAACCTCAAAACAATAACCTGATATTATTCTTCAAAAATAAACAAGAGCCGGTGCGCCTGGGTGGCTCAGTGGGTTAAGCTGCTGCCTTCAGCTCTGGTCATGATCTCAGGGTCCTGGGATCGAGCCCCGCATCGGGCTCTCTGCTCAGCAAGGAGCCTGCTTCCTCCTCTCTCTCTGCCTGCCTCTCTGCCTGCTTGTGATCTCTGTCAAATAAATAAATAAAATCTTTAAAAAATAAATAAATAAATAAATAAATAAACAAACAAGAGCCAACTAAATTGAAATCTAGTAGAAGGAAGAAAATAACATAGATTAGAGATAAGCAAAATCAAGAATAGAAAAGCAAAAGAATTAATCAATCTAAAAGTTGGTTCTTCAAAAAGATTGATAAATTGACAAAACTTTATCTAGACTGACAATAAAAAAAGAAGAGACACGAATAACTAGAATCAGAAATCGAAATGGGACATGACTATAAAATCTTACAGAAACTAAAAAGATCATGAGAAAATACTAAGAACAAACGTACACCTATATTTATTCGCCTATGGTCTTGATCTTGTATATAGAAAATCCTGAAGAATTACCAAAAATACTATCAGAGCTAATAAATTCAACAAAGTTACAGGATATTAGATAAATATGCAAAATTCCATCATATTTCTAAAAAACAAAGAAGTGGGGGGTGCCTGGGTGGCTCAGATGGTTAAGCATCTGCCTTCGGCTCAGGTCATGATCTCCAGGTCCTGGAATCAAGCCCCACACTAGGCTCCCAGTTCAGCAGGAAGTCTGCTTCTCCCTCTTCCTCTGCCTCACCCGTGCTCATGCTCTCTGTCTCAAATGAATAAATAAAATATTAAAAAAAAAAACAACAACTCCATTGTATTTCTATATACTAGCAATGAGCAATCCCAAAATAAAATGAAATTAAGAAAATGATTTATTTGCAAACTTATCAACAAGAATAAAATACTGATGAACAAATTTAAGCAAGAAGTACAAGACTAGTACATTAAAACTATAAAATACTGTTGAATAAAATTAAAGATGTAAATAAATGGAAAGACATACTGTATTCCTGGAATTGGAAAACACGAATATGGTAATACTATCCAAAGCAATGTAGAGATTCAATGCAATCCTTATCAAAATCCCAATGGTCTTTTTTTTAGTTTGGAAAAGGCAAATTTGTATAGAATTACATGGCACCTAAACAGCCAAAACAATCTTGAAAAAGAACAAAGTTGGAGGACTTATTCTTCACAATTTCAAATCTTACTACAAAGCTACAATACTCAAAAGAATGTAGTAATGGCTTGAGGATAGACATGTGGATCAATGGAATAGAACTGAGAGTCCAGGAAAAAACTCAAAACAACTATGGTCAAATAATTTTCAACAAGGGTGCCAAAGGGATCCAGTGAGAAATGAATAGTCTTCTTCAACAACTGGTGCTGGGACAACTCAATATCCAAATACAAAATAATGAAAATGAACCCCCTACCTCATAGTATATAAAAAAGACAAACAAACAAAAAAGCCTAAAATAGATCAATAACCTAAATGTAAGAGTTAAAACCATAAAATTCTTAGAAGAAAATATAAGGAT